GGCTCCTGTCCAGTCTGCCTGCTGCGAGCTCTTTCTTACCATTAAACTCTAACAACACAAACAGAAGTGGACGGAAAATCACGTCGGAAACCCGCCTGTCAAAACCTTCGGCTTTGCCTACTCGGTGCGAGGGCATTCATTTAGAAAAGGGTTTACACACAGGTAGTCCCAAGAGCATTTGAAACGACGACTATTTTTAAGTCGCTGGAGGGCACCAGGAACACAGTCACACAAGCAGTTTCTCATTGCAACTTCTGGCTTTTAAAATGAATTAAAATGGCAAAATTCTACAATTAAAATGTATTTAAACTGGCCCTCTGCCACAACACTCAGAGATTTAAACTTCCTGCATGAATACACACACAAATACACACACAATGACGTACCGCAGGTGTGAGGCTGAGACAGAGCCTTGTAATGCACATTCTCAGGTTGCACCTGAATATTTAACCATCTGAGCGAACACCTCTCGCACACCAACACGCAGGTGATAGTGTTACATTCACACCTCCTGACATTTCCTTCTGCAGCTCTAAAAGTCATGTCAAAATAGTGCATCCACCAAAGGCCCATCTGTCGGGCTTACTCAAGTTCAAATGACCCATGTCCCTTAGATTAAGAATGTCAAGTGCTTGCATCATACGTAGAAGTAGAAGCAGGAATATCTCAGATGCTCTATTTCTTTCGATATCCTTTTCTTATATTTCAACACAATCCCTCTCCGGCAAGCCCACAAAATATTAAAACCTCTGCAAAATTGAATACATCTTCCAGAGAAGCTTACATTTTTAAAATAGAAGGTTTTGGTAAATGCCAAACCACTGTCGTTGTGTTTTATGACGGTGTCGATTTGTTTTCTTCTTCTTTCTTGCTGGCCATTGGGGGGAATGAGCGTTATAGTCCATCTGCAGTTCACTTTAGCAATGACTGATAACACATCTGTCTGTCTGTCTGTCTGTCTGTCTGTCTGTCTGTCTGTCTGTCTGTCTGTCTGTGTGTGTGTGTGTGGTAGTAGTGATGAGTGGGGAGCCTTCGGCTGGTGGTCCAGACTGGAGGTTTGGCGATAGGCCAGTTGACGATGATCAGTGCAGTGCTGTTAGAACTCCATGTTAATCCCCTCTGCCTCTGCTTTGTGTTGTAGCCAGTCAAAAGACAGCACAGCAGTGTTTCTTAAACTGTGGCTCAGACTGTTTCTTGTATGAATCACTAAAATACCAGTTTTTTCTTTGGACTCTGTACTATCTAATTTAATTTAGCCGAAACTTGGCACCAAAACCCTTAGACCTCCTTAGACCCTTCTCCTTTTGTGTTTCTGTTTATGACCTTCAAGTTTCTGAACATTTCTGATTAAAAAACTCACCAAAGACAAACTACTTCATTCAATTGTGAACATGAGAAGATAACACATCTTGGAGTCTCTTTTGATCTTAAAAACAGGCTGAGACAGCATCAGTATTGCACTGTCGTCATAAGTCTTGAATTGGTAGCTGCATTGTTACCATCTGTGATGCCTCCTTCTGTGGTTGTCTTTACAATTGACTCGTCATAAAGCCTGAGTCACGCTGACAGATTCCAGTGCAGCGGCACAAAGAGCTTCTTGTGGTTTGACATCTCTCATGAAGACCTGAGACATGTCTGATACAACCGTGATTACACTTAGGTTATCATTAGTATCTGTTCTCACGCCAGCGGGCACAACTTCGTCCTCTTGAACACAAGCTGGTCACTGATTTGAATTGCATGATTATTTGAGCTATGGTGATCTTCCTATAAAGTACATCTTGAAACCATCATGCTGATACGCCAAGGAAGCTGGCTTTTCTCCTGAAAGTCGGTCGACTTTTAACAGCAGCCTCTCCAGATTGGTTTAGAAATCATGGGAGGAAGGAACTTCACGTGTCCTATTTAACCCCATTAGCTGCTACTAAAGGCCTTCGGCTGCTCAGCTGCTCTGGCAGGTGCACAATATAAGTATCATATGGAAAATGGTTTTGGAAAATTCAACAGAATTTTGTTTTTCTAGAAGCACTCTGTTACTCTGGATAACCCCCAGACCTACCACATAAGAGAGAAACTATATTGTGCGTTAGGTGAACCAACCCTGTTCTTAATGTAACATGAGTGTGTCAACACATACAGTTCTGCCAGTATTTAGCACCTGTTTGGAACGCCATCCTCTTAACCACTAACACTTGTGTTGTATTACACTCCGGTGGAACATTATCCTTCATTACAAGCTCCCCTGACACCATGAACAAAAGAGCAGTGGACTCATCTGGCTAATGACACTATCCTCTGACAGTTAGCTCGACTGGTTTCCTCAGTTGTCCACAGCTAAAACTTGGCTGTGTACATTTTACATGGTGGGGCCAATAAAGGATTGGTACTGCCATGGTTGACTCAGGAATATCTTTAAATTGGTCCCATATTAGCCATTTGGCCGAGCCGTGTTATGTTTACAACATTTTTTAAGTTATTGACTTCTGTCAGTATATCTGGATCATCGGTGGCTTGGGAACTAAATAAATTAGTGTGAGAAATGAAAGTAGTGGCTGTGGAAAGTCTTGACTCACTCTATATGTACTGCATTTAAGGTACCAAAGTTACTGGCTGCAGATCATGTTAGCATGGTGATACGTTCAACATACAATACATCAAAATTCCAACCACAGGGACGTAAACATCTTCATGAATTCAAGTTTCTTAATGCCTGCAGAGTAGAACCGTAGAACTAAACACGTCAAACAGTGAAACCTCAGCTGTCAAACTGTATTAATCACCGGCTCATAAGCTTGACTGGTGTATCAGCTCTGGTTGCAAAAGGTCTCACAGAGAATCACAGCGTCGTTGATAGAGATAATAAGTTGCATAAGAAAATACGAGAGTATTTGTTGTTGTTGTTGTTGAACCAGGCTGCACTGACTCTCTGTGAAATGTGAGAGCAGGGGATGGATCAGATATCGACCACACACATTAGTTAAGCAACACACATCATCTCTTCTCATGTTCTCTAACTCCTACATCATTGTCTTCTCTGGATAGTCGCCACCTTTTAATCATACTGTCTTTTCATTATCCTCCCTCCCTCTGCCAACATATACTTTAGCTCTTAACTCCATGACTCGTCCTTCCATGTTGTTTTCTTTGTGTTGTAACACTTTCATCTTTCCCACACTGTTCGTCTCACCTTCCTTTCATTCTTATGCTATAGATACTGTACTGTGTGTACAGATACTCCATCCTCTCCTGTGTTTGATGCCTGTTCTTGTCATTTGATCACATCAGAGTCTATTCTTCTTTTAACAAAGGTAAATCCCTGATGCCCCATTGCTCTCTTGTTCCTTTCCCTCTTTTACACAAAAAATACAATGATTCATTTCTGTTACCTCATATAAGTATATATGTAAAACTTTATGGTGTAATGTTGGAGGTTTTTTTTCTGAGCACTGCAGAAAACTCTTGTTGTCTGCTAAACTCATCCACATAAATCCCATAAGTAATTGCAGACAGAATACACTACACTGTGTAGAATACATTTATTAATAATTAAATGAGACAATTTAAAAGTAAATACCGTATAAAAATAAAGCTGTATGTTTGTAAAGTGAGGACATCTTGTTTCACCGACACAGCAATTCATCTGAGGGGAGGACATGAAATAAGCAGTGAGTAAACAACTATTCTTTTTTATGAGGATGAAATATGTTTTGATATAACTTTTCTCTATCATAATGAAAAACAGTCAAGTGAAACTAAAGTATTGGAACATTGTAAACGCTAAGATACTGAGGAAGGTTTTCCTGGGAAGAAAAACTTTAAAGGTGTCCTGTGGAGTTTCTGACCACTAGTAGTGCTAATGAGCAATGTTTTTTAGAGACGTTTTGTTTGTATCGTATAAGCAGGTGGGCGATGCATACACCATCCTGCCACCGGTTTCAGATATTCCGCTGATTGACAATTGGTGGCGGTAACAAGCGAAGTGGCAATGCAACAGTAATTGCTAAGAAGAAGACAAATAAGTAGACTGCAAGCTTGTGAACATGGATGTAAACAATGCTCAATTTATGAGCATTTTATGATGTCTAGCTTTTGAGGATCTTTTGGTCTACCTCACTTTGTCAGGCAGGTCCTATTTAAGTGATTTCTTTATTGAGAACAGGTGTGGCAGTAATGAGGCCTGGGTGTGGCTAGAGAAATTGAACTCAGCTTTCCAAAGATGTGATAAACCACAGTTAATTTATGTTTTAACAGGGGGGGGGCAATCACTTTTTCACACAGGGCCATGTAGGTTTGGATTATTTTTCCCCCTTAATAATAAAAACCTTCATTTAAAAACTGCATTTTGTGTTTACTTGTGTTATCTTTGCCTAATATTTAAATTTGTTTGATGATCTGAAACATTTAAGTGTGACAAACATGCAAAAAAATAAGAAATCAGGAAGGGGGCAAACACTTTTTCACTGTATATATACAAACCTTTGGTACACTCTGAGATATCATACTACAGTAATAAATAACACGTATTCCTTTTATAAAAACAAAATAAATATCAATAAGTTAATAAATTCAAGATTTCATAAATACATTTCATATGTGTATGTTTTCCGTGTAACATGATGTATGTGCTATACAGTAGACAGCTTAAGTCTGCCGAATCATCCATTGTGTCTGATTGATTTCACGCATTTAGGTTGAGTATCCACGAAAACATTTAAAATCTCTCTGAACATATGAGCGACGTAAGGTGTAAACTGTATAGAACAATGTAGATCCATTGGAGGAAGAAGAGGTTCATTGCTTTGGGGTAAAAACTGTGGTCACGTCACCTCCTCTTCTTATCTATTCCTTTCACGGTGGACTCAAGTCCTACATGGCCCCTCATGATGCCTGCAAGTTTCCTCACAGTGAGACAAGACAGAAGAAAAACACTCAACAGCATACTTCAAAAGTGCGAGCGAAATGTAAAACTATAAAAATCCTGACACTATAGCTCGCACTCCCTACACACAACCACACGTCCTGGCAGAGTGCTTCCTCACGGTGTGGTAGACGAGGTTGTCGTCCAGAAACGAGAGGTCATCGTCAAACGCTATTGGTCGACAGCAAGTCTGAGGGGGCGTGTCTTTAGGGGGAAGCCTCTTGTTGTGAGCGAGGTTGTAAAGGATTTTGTCATAGTTGGTCTCGGACTTCCTGCAGGGTCCGGAACAGTACCTGAACATCATTTCCTCGCTGGAGCGGTAGCCCAGACCGAGGTCCGTCACATTGAGGTGGATCTGTTTGAGCACACAGCCTTGGCCTCGTCCCCTGGCCTTCCTCCCTGTTCCCTCTTCTCTGGCTCTTCCTCTACGTCCTCCACTCTGCTGGCTCGCCCCCTTCTTCCTCTCCCTTCTGTGTCGGTTCCTGCTGCTCCATCCTTCTTTAGAGGGGGAGGAGGTGGTAGAGGAGGTAGATGAGGACACGGTGGATGAAGAGGAGCGACGCATTCTACTGATGGTCAATTTGATGAAGTCCACCACGTCTTCAAACTCGCTTTGGGACGGTTCCTCCATGGTGTCTGAAACACATCAAGAAATGGCACTCTTACAAGGGCGTATCATATTTGACAGCACATGTTGTTTCACTCTAACTCATCACTCTGGCTATGAAACAGATGGAGTGTTGTGTCAGAAACTACACACGCAAATGCGGAAATGGTACACATTGTTTGTTTTTATTGCAGAGGATTTCCATTTGAAGTTACAAATAGATTCCATTCTTATTTATGCACCACGCTGCTGTATATTTTAGTGGACTAGTTGCATTAAAGATGCAGATGCCACTATGTAGCCCCATGGCAAATACCACTAGAGCTAGAAATAGTGGATTCACAGATAATTAATCAACACGCATTGCCATTATTTATAACAAAAAATCTAAATATTCATTGGTTTCTACCAGTTGTGAAGATGTACTGTGATTCTTTGTCATTTGAAAATGTCACTCATCATTTGATTTATCGATAATAAAATAATTGTTATTTGCCACCCTACATACCATCATTTAATTATGTTCAAAGCTCATAAGCATTTCTTATTTGGGTGTTGTACGCTGTGGGAAATGTATGAATAATAACATCTGAATCCACTTAGAAGGTTAGAGGCCAGGATAACACACATTTGCAAGTTTCTGGATTTCAATTACTGGATCATGCATTCTAAAATCCTTTTAAATAAAACGTTTAGTATCAAATTCAGTCTAAATATTGTGTGAAAATAAACAAATAATAAAGTGGCCAGCTCCCCATGTTTTCAATGTAGCAGTTAATTCGTTTTTTTCTATTTGACACAGAAAACAATGTAATTATTTGTTCAAGGAAAACAATGACTTCTAAGGTTGTTTTTTTGGGCACTTTGGAAACTCCATAAAAAAACACAGGCGCTTACATTTTTCTCCTCCAGTCACCGTCTCTTCCCAGTCCACTGTACCCGCCTCAGCACGGCTGATGCCCGGGGAAGTGACAGACAGACGGATGTGAACCGGCGGGAGCTCCAGGGGAATGTCGGGGGCGCGCCCGTTACTCTTGGTGGACGTGGACTGCGGTCGGCTCCGGAGCAGCGGACTGGCGTGCACGGCGCTCAGCAGTATCAAACAAGTGGTCAGGCTATCCCATAACTTCATTGTCCAGCTCAGTCCGACAGAAGAACATGGCGCGATGAAAAATCAACAGGTTTCATCTGACAAACGCGATTAACAGCATATTGAAGACGTTCAACAGTTGGAGAGGAAAAGGCGGCGCGCACTCATCGGCTTGGGGTTCCTGCCACTGTGAAAACCGATGAAGATCAATGTGGTATTGCCTGCGTAGCCCGCTGTAAACTGCACGCTATCTCTCGCGTGCCAGCTGGCAAACGCTGCGCAGCGTGGCGCAACATCCAAGGAGGAACGAAACCAAAGGCTGAGGCGCAAAATGCAAAGCAAAGACTTCCCCTCTGAAGTTTGCAAATCCAACGACGCTTGAAAAACAACAATACTCCCAGTTTACAGGTTTGCGTTCCTATTGCTCAATGCAGAGACTCCTGCTCATCCCTAATCACCATCAGTCCTGACTGAGCCGTGAGGAGAAGGAGAGGTCTAACGGGGGAGACGGGAGGTGGTGGTGACGTCTGATGGTCCATCCTCTGCCTCTTCCTGTCTCCACCCATGCAGAGGGATGGAGTCCAGATCCACGATTGAACCTCAGGTCCAGAGTTGGTGAGGGTAGAGGAGTTGTGTTATGAAAGAGGCTCAGTCTGTGTACTCAGATGGCTGAGAGGGAGAGAGAAGTTTCACACTTTCCACTAACAATACTCCTGATACCGCACCCATGCCTTTTGTATTAGGTTGACATTGGACGGGAAATGTGTTTCTAATCAGCCAGTCAAAACAGTCTGAGAAGATTTCGTTGCTACTTATAACCACAGTGCTCTTGAAATCAAGCTGTTTTGCAGTTGATGAGCAGATGACATTTAACATCAAGGGAGAGTGAGCTGATATCCATTACGGCAACTGGGTGTTTAACTGGGAATTTTGCCAGTAGAAACTGTTATTTTGGTTTTGCATAATCCGTGATGTAAAGTGTCATTTTATTAATTATCTGGCACAAGGTTTAAGCGTTGTCATTAAATTAAAAACACCTGAGCATTTCTTTCAGCAGCATTTTGCCGGTATAGTACGAGTTCGGCTTAAGGCAAGGAGGGGTTAGTGTCACATCACCTTTCAAACACAGACGCAATTCATGCTGTATGTATCAACAAAGCTGAACGTGTCAAGTGCTCTCCTTCCAAGAGTTATATTGTTTATTTTCCTTTAGTCATCGCCACAGTAAATATAATACGCTCACACAGCTTCTTTTTTTTCAGGGTATTATATATGATAATTATTCCACATGATTATATTTGAGTCAAAGTCCAGATGAAACACAGTCCAGTTCAGTGATATGGAGATGACCAAGATGACTTCGGTTCAAGTGCTAAGACGCATTAAATCCCTGCTAGCATATGTTTTAAGAAGCAGCCATATGCTTCACTTTCTCTCTTCTTCTGCAGTGGTTATTGTGGTTAAAATCTACCACTGATCTGGTGCACACAAACCTTTTCTCCCGCAAAATCTTTCCAGGAAGAAGAGAAATGTCACTGTTTGCTCTCCGAATAAAGCTGTTTCCTCTAGTTTATTAACTTTACAAGGTTGATGTAAAATACATGCCGTGTATCCGCACGCATGTGTACAGTAGGGCTTTATGTAAATGTGCAAACACACATGCACGTCCATGCACCTTTTTGAAGTCTGAAGTTTCATGATAAATCATGCTTGTGTGAGTGCATGTTAGCCACATTGTATTGTAATCACTCGACTACACCGAACATGCAAAAAACATCTGAGCCTCCAAATATGCTGCAACCGTAAAGTCATACAGAATGACGGTTGTCTCTTTGCCGCTTGTGTTTTTAGAAGTTAGACTCTTAATCACTCAGAAGAGGCTTCCCTTTCCACTGACCCGTTCACTTATGGAAATACCTCATCCTCAAGCAATTACACCCTGGCAAGCAGCAAACACACCAAACAGATGTCATTTCTCCTGCTTGCAATGCATGAGGGCTTATCAGGGGCCGATCTGCAATTGAAGCTGTCAGCCATTTTTTGGGTCTCAGTTTGACCCACATGTAACAGGGCTAATTGCAAAGGTCATTTCACCCGTCATTATCGGCCAACTTGAAACTGCAGCTGCGGTGTGGCTTATGGGAGCGAGGAGTCGACAGCTGGAATGGATGTCTGATTTGGGACACTGCTGCCGGTGTAATTAGCAGAAAAAAAAGAATATCCTGACTCTCCACACTGACAGGGAGATTGGTGATAATGTGTCCTGTTTTCTACATTTAGACGTTTCAATCTGATACTTAGAGGGGAGGAGAATCTGCGCTTGTATTTAGCCGAGCTAGAAACATGGCTCGTGGGATGGCGATGTTGGTGGGTCGGTCCAGACTGAAATATCTTTATCTATTACAACTTTACAACTATTTGATGGATGGCCATGAAATTTAGTACAGACATTCATGCTCTCAAACAATGGATCCTAATGACTTTGCTGACAACCTGACTAGTGCCAAAAGCAGGTCAAAGTTTTCTGCTTTTCATCAATTGTGGTTCCCAGGCGATGAATCCTAATGACTTTCATCTAGTGCCACCAGGAGTTAGACGTTTGTGTTTTTGAATGACATGTCTCAACAACCATTAGAAGGATTGCCATGACATTTTGTACACACACTGATGTAGCCCTCAGGATGAATGGAAATAACTTTGGGGATTTCGTAACTTTGAATCTGGTGCCACTATCTGGTCAAAAGTTTGATTTCTCCAAATTTTGATTTATGATTAAATAACTGCAAAATGACATCGGCCTCAGCTTTTTGTGTTTAGTGCCAATTAGCAAATGTAAGCATGTTAACATGCTAAACTAAGATAATCATATAAACATTAGCACATTAGCATTATGAGTCATTATGAGCACGTTAGCCTGCTGACATGGCACTAGCATGGCTGCAGACCTTTAGTCTTGTTTTACTTATGACAGGTAGGTGTACAATATCAGCCAGCTTGTTCATTTCACCTGCAAATGCTAGGGTTATAGCTCAGGGGGATTACCTTTAACCCCATGGTGGACCCTTTAGATTCCCTTAAGAATGTGGACGTGCATTGCATTAACATTTAGAATGGGAAGTCACCAAAAATAAAATGATTGTCCAGCAAGTCAACTGGTCTATAACCTTGCTTTAGTCACGCTATACTTGTACGACATAGTTTTTTAGAAGAAGTAAAGAGTAAGAAGTTCACTTGCGAATGATTTTATCACTATTCATGGATCTGGATGGTGGATGGAACATTGTGGGGAGCCACAGTGGTGCTTAGAGAGTAATCCACACCATGTGTACTCTGGTGCTGCTGGAGCCTCGGGCGATCAGGCTACGGGAGCTGTGAGAGTGGACGCCGTCTGCTGAGCTGAACCACTGGGAGTTGTCTCTGAAATGTTAAGATGAGGTCAAATATACTTTTTACTTCATGTTGGTCTCCAGTTTGGCAATGAGTGTGACATTATTGCCCGCTAGCTGGCTATGTAAAACCCAAATGTCTGATTTCAGGTGGAGAACATTACAATCAGTGATTTCTAATGCCGCGTTGAAAACACTAGACCTCCAGATGTGCTGACTGCTCACACACATGTGCATGTAGGACTTAAATGCTGCCACTAGTGGACACTGTTTACCACCGCTATTATCAATGTGTTACACATTTACTACATGAAACAGCTCTTCAGTGGTGCTTACACCAGAGAGTCATCTTTTCGGTTTCTCCTTTTTTTAAATCTCTATTTAAATACGACTCACACACTCCTTTTTTATTCACTACTATGATTATTATACTTTTGAAATGTGGTAATAACATGAAATATGTCTGAAATATGTTAACCTAAAACTGATTTTCCTAAAGTTCTTTGTAATAGGGGTATGACAGCATATAACAAAAGTGTGTGAAAGGACAAAACAACTGATTCAAATAAAGACTGAAATTAATTTTTCTTCGTATTTTTAATGATTTTTGTAGTGTGGTGAGGAAGAACAAATTAGTTCTCCAAACATCCAACACATCACGCCACATGCCTCTGTGGTACAGGCTGCTATTCTTCTCATTGAGAGAGACAATTTTCTAAACCACCAGTCTGGTTTATTTGTTTGTTTTTAATTTAATTAAAAAGTAACAAACAATGTATTTACTTGGATGAGGCTAATATGAAACCTACGTTGCGTTCCCTCTTGGTTTGTGAGTAAGCTTGATTCCCAAAAATAGATAAAGATGGAATGGTTGTTTGTGTTTCAATGTTTATGTGAACATACAGTATATGGCTTGCTTTGGGCTTTGGTTGCCCCTGACAGGTCATCGGTTTCTATTTTTGTAGCTGTTTCTCCTCAGTCTCTCCGCAATGTCCTGAGTGAGTTTGTGTTTGTCCAGGAGATGGAACCAGTGAGCTCCATATTCATGCAGCACAGTGACCATCATTGCGGACACTGCTCATTGTCTCGCTAAACCTTCGTCTTTGGTCACGATCAGCCTCGGTTGTTACATTATCGAGATCCCTGAGAGCTCACCTCAGTGTGGTGCTCAGTATATAGTCAAATCCACGCTGCTGATCCGACTGAGTTTTTTAAAAGTTGGATCCAAAGAGGAAATCCTCTATCTGAAACTCGGTACTTAAGTTACAAAACACACTATCACAGGATCAGTTATTACCTAAAATGTCACTTTTGTCAGAACACAGAGGAACTAGAAACTGAACATATGTAACATACTCATACTCAATTGAAACCATTTTTGTAGAATTTATGTCTCAAGCTCCACCTGCCAACCCTGGACCTGTCTGAACAATGAAAGAGGGTGTTGTATGAGCCTATTGAACTTAGTTTCCTGTTGAAACTGTTGAATCATTGAAATGGAATCCTGGTATGTAAAAAGAAAAGAAAAATGAAATGTTCAGGATGTGGTTATCTCTACATAAAGCCAGCTTCCTTTTGTCCTCTAAAACAGTGATGATATCTCACTCATTGTATCTGACTTAACTTGAATAGAAATCAAGGCAAATCCGTATTGTATTTGTGCGGAATGTCCTTGATTGGTGGTGTGTTTTTCTTATCTTTAGTTAACTGAAAGCTGCCTATCACAAAGGAAGACAAAAACCATGAAACAGATAATCACGAAAAAGACTTAACATACATAAGTATCACATTAGCATTTAATTATTTGCCTATAAGGCAGACATGAGGACATTTTAAGTGTCCATTGACTTGCTCATGAACAATCATAGCTTTTCTGATAAGACATTTCATATTGCCTGCATGCATATTATTATGGAAATATAAGAGCTGTCATGTCGTAACGTCACTCATGTGGATGAAATCATATTCTGTAAGCTAAGTCTTATATTTACCTTCACCATTCCACCTCCAATACACAATGGCAGAGGGGTTTTGATGAGTGAGTGGTATGATCTGTGCTACTGTACCAATCAGGTCATTATTAAAACATGAGTATAACGAACATGTAAAACTACACGAGGACTGTGTGAGCCGGGGTAAAAATGTTGGATCAGAATTAGATAAAAGGATTTTAAAATGATTCTGTGCAAATTGATGGCCTGAGTAATTACTGGATTTTACATTATTGTTTTGTATGAAAGGAGATATGCCTTGCTCAGAAAATTAAGTGTAAGTAGATAAGTATGGCAAATGGCTGCACAAATCAGCCTGTTACCTGGCTGCTGGTCGGATTTTTATCCCACGGCGTCTCATATAATATAATATAATATAAATATATCCAGAGGAAAAGTTTGAGGCAATTTACTGTCTTAAGCATTGTTTGAATTTGATTTGTGGCGGACATGTAATGGATAAAAGTGCAAATCCCTTATAAACTTTGACAAAATTAACTCGATCAGTGTTGAAAGTGCCTGGCGCCCGGTTGTCCATTGTTAAGTCCTCTCTTTCTTTGGCCCTCCTTGACAAGAAGAATGCATCTGATGATTTGACTGAGCGCTCCTGCAAACACTGCTCTCTCTGTACACACACACGTGCACATTGTGACGTGCATGTTGTGAGTTGACACACGCTCACAGACCTCCTTCAACCGTCGCTTCATTGTGTCATGTTGAGACAGCAGAGCACTTAATCAGCCGGGCAGTTGAAGTCACATATTAATGACCACAGCAACTGCTTTGGGGGACATTAATTAATGTATTATTTTGTCTCCTGGTTATTGTTGTACACACACACACACGCGCGCGCGCTCACTCGCACGCACACAGTAGTGTCTGTTGGCTGAGCAGCTCCCCTGCTTCCTCGTCAAGACGCGTGCTCTCCATCTGTGTCCAGTGTGCGGATTAGAGGCTCGTTATCCTCTTAGCTCTAAATGGCCCCACGTTCCTGCACTTCGCTGTCGAGCTCATCTGCCGTCTAAGACGCGGACCGGGTTCATGACACGAAAGCGAGATTCATGCGTAAAAATGATCGTGCCCACCATTCAGTTGTTTTAGTGGTTGCGCATTACGCGCGAATCCCCCTCCATCGTCTGTCAGCGCGCCTGTTGGGACGCAGTGGCTCTCTGACCGTCCGTTAATGTGTCTATGTGTCCAACCCACTGATCTTTTGCAGACTGTAATCTTATCAGTGTCAAACCGTAGCTGCCCTCGTCTTCGGATGCCATTTGGAATATTTTTTATCAGAGAAAACTTTTTATCACCAAAGGGGTTAGCTACATTTACAGTCACTGGCGCGTTTGAATGTGTGATAAAATGATCATTTGACTCTTTTAAACTTTGGACCAGAAGAAGACATGGAATCTACATGTAAAGAAAGGAGTCTTTTATACTTACTTCTCTTTGCAATATGCACAGCCAGCGTTTGCTTTTGTGCAAGAAGATCAAATGCTCGGAGATCTGGTGAGTTTACAAACACTGACCTTTTTTTACTAGATTGTAAAAGGTGGAATAATAGCAACAATGGTTATACTTTATATTGAATCGTTGTGAGTGGGGGCAGCATTAGCGTGTGCTCATATTTCTATTTGTATGATCACACCAGTATCATAAAGCCAGCTTTTAAACTTTGTCACGTCACATTTGAATCATCAAATGACACATAATATTTTATCATGTATTCACAACAATCCAAGTAACTTTAAAAGTCCTTTACCTTCTAGTTTATGGCGATAAATGCTGGGAAATATGAACTTTGGTTATTGGAAAACACTCCATCATCATCATCATGTAATCTCCATATCCTTTTTATATAGAAGTGATTATTCTACAACAAAAGCCATAGAGCAGCATGTTACTATTTATAAACGGTCCCCACCAGGAGCTTTTTAGTCAATGATCAGCAGCACAGCACATTAACATTAACAGCACATTAACCATAATTGGTGAGCTATAAATTGTCCACAGCAACAGGACTTTAATGGCTAAGAGGGAAAGGACACAAACATAACTTGGTAAAAAAAGGTTTGTGTGGATAAAAAAAAACCTGTAAATATTTGTAAAAAATAAGAAATAGAAAGTCAGGAAGGGATGTATACAACTTCAAACCAACAGCACCTTCATCAACAACCTTGCCAATGTGCTCCTTCGGGCAGAAAATCCCTGGATGTTGATTTTGTCACCACCACAGTGTCTCTCCCCTGTCTTTGATATTCTGTCACCCTGAACACTTTTTCCGTCCGAGTTACTTCCTTGTAGCTCCTCTTTCCCCCTTTCCATCACTTCCTTTTTCTCTCGCTGTCAGTCTCTCTGGCCGTCTGTCAAATTCTTCCAAACTCTTTCGGACCCACAGGCTATAGCAGGCTGACTATTACATATGTCTGTCAGCACAGCAAACTCACCACAGTTGGGACTGTCACACAGAGGACGGCTGCAATTCTGTCTTTATGACTTCCAGGGACATTTGTACTTGTTTTTTTTTTTTAGTTTTGAGGTCTTTCAGGCTTCATTCAGAGGGAGCGGGAGATGTCAACAGGGCTCAATGTCCAGATGAATCACATCAGCCGTTTACACAACAAAGCAGGTTGTACTAGGAAGGAGTTAAGTTTGAATGACGTCTCTCCCCAAGGTGGTCTTATTTTTTTTAGGATTTTGACGGCTTTCTCCCCGGTTAGAATAAGCTGTTGAATTATTTATAGAATCATTCATTCGCTCAACACCTACTGTAATGTAGATCTAGACGTATTAACTTGTCATGAAAATCATGCCTTTTAAATTAAACCTTTTCTATCACGTCACTCAGTGCAAACAATAGTGTTTGGTGAAAGTCAAGGAAAACGTAACCAATATGAGAAACAGTTTTTATCTTTTTCAGGAGATGACATTTCACAGTGTATCCCTTCAGATTCAGTGTTTATTTATCAAGCCCTAAGCCATGCCGAAGAGCAGCACAACAGCATGTGTCTTAGTGGTCAGTCACTTTTGGATGACTCAGACCTGGAAAGAGCAGCGCTTCTACATGACTGGCTCTGAAAGTGGAAACATAGAATCAGAGCAATAGAGCAGGTGTGTGTGTCTGAAAGAAGTTCTCAATTGTTGATCAAGGTTTATGAGAGCATCCTTTGATTTTTGGCCAGAGTGGTATACAAGTGTCCAGAGTCTTTAGATCCCAACAAAAATGAAAAGCTGCCTGTCTGTGAGAGTCTCCATGACACAGTCTGTCCTTCAGAGTGAACTGACAAGTTGATGTTGTTTGCAAAATCAGCCAGTATGTCATGATTACATTTTTTTAATTTTATTTCAATATTTCAAATTTTTGGTATTAGCCTCAAAAAAGCTTCTATTTGGATTCAAACTTAGATTCTATCCCTTTGGTTTGTGTGCTGTTTTATTTTAATAGTCATCTTGTTTTACTTCCTGCCTTTGTTTATTTCCCCGCCAATGTTGATTGTCTGCCCTGCCCTGATTGGTCCCTCGTTAGCCCTGCACTCACCAGGCCTCCTGCTCACCTGTTCCCACTTCCACATGAGTCAGTCACTATTTATAGCAGCCCAGCTCCTAGTCAGTTTGTCTTTGTTGCGTCATTGCTGTTTGGATTTCTTTTACTTTCTAGATTTTTACCTTATTTCGTGCTCACTGCCTGTAAGCCGCATTTCCTAATAAATCATAAAAACTGCACCGGTCTGCTTGTCCTCATGTGTTGAGGTCCTTCCCATGCTGCCTGCCTGCCATCCTAACCGTGACAGATTTAGAGAGTAATGAGTCGTTTCAAAGGAATCGTCACAGAACCGTGGAAGTGGGTGATCATGGCAGTTTGCTAATCTGGTGTACTTGTGCTTGGTGGTTTTGGAAAATTCCTATAAGTGCTCTTTACCTTCTGTGTGAGCTGCTGCAGGTGTAGCTTTTGTTCTCTATCATGATGGCATGAAAGTGCATGGTTTCCTGACACTGGGGCCTCTTGTGACCTTTTTCTTTGTAGTGGTCTCCACTGCATTACAGAAGTTTGCGCCGGGCCTGACCTGTGAATTCTGGCCTGACCTGTCCCCTCATGCACTGTATTGATTGAGCAGAAGTTCCATCTCTATCTGCTCTGATTCTGTGGGTTCAGCTCACCCGTACCTTCACCGGCCCGCACCCCTGGGGAGATATGGATGATCGGGGAATTGAGCTGACATATTGAATTACCCACTTGGATGGAAGAGCAGAGCAGGTAGAAGGGTTTTAAAAAAAAAAGAAGAAAAGCAGAATAGATGTTGAAAGGATTCAGGAGGTCGGCGTGGGAAGTAGAAGAAGGGAGTCACAAGAGAAAAAGGAAAGCTGAAAAGGGCAGCATTGTAGTTACATGAGATTTCAATTTGCAGAGGTCTGCCTTGCTATATTAACCTTTTCTTTAATGCCCATGTCGGTGTATACCAGAAAAATCTGTCCTTTGTCACCTAGGACAGATCAGGACATATAAGAATCTACTCCTAAATCTACTCACATGTAAAGTCATGAACAATATGAATTATACATAATCTATATCTACAGTATTTTGTTATACAGCAATTTTTAAGGAGCTTCTTTATGGTCTTGTTGTGACAGTCCTCTACTTTGTGTAAATGTTATGACATAAGATGCACGCCTATTACTCTATAAGGGTCCTTGTCTGCTCATTTTTCTTCATTAAAGCCAAGTAACGACTATACAGCAGGCCGTGTTGATGAGCTCCACCTCCAGAGCTCTTTCTGTTTCGTCTATAAGAGGCTTTTCAGGCTACAGTTGAACACTGGAGTTGCAATCACAATTTCTTGAAGTGTCACAGAAGCCCCCAGGATTTTAGAGTGAAAATAATGAGATTTGAAGTCAGAGTCAGTTGATATTAGAGGCCAGCAGGTTATACCATTTCAAATGGTCCCCATGTCACTCTTCAAATAGACTATAAGGTGAAATACAGAGTAGGTTGTGTTCACGTTATATTTGGGATATTTGTTGAAACCTCATGGAGCTATTGACAAAGTTTCTACATATAATAGGCAGGCAATTTTCTTCCTTACGTATTCTGAACAACTATAATTGGTTTTCAATTTATATACTTTACCTGAAAATAGTCTTCACAAGGATCAGGTTGTAAAGTGTTCAAAAAGTATTCCGTCTTTATTAAACCTCCATTGACACATTTTAGCCACTTGTGAGGACGAGGAACAAGCTGTGGACAAGACGTTGATGTATGCATTGATGAACGTATACCGCGTAACATCGGCATTCGTTTAGAGTTTAGGACCTGGTGAATCTAACATTTGTCTAGTTCACTCTCAGTTTTGCAACCCACCAACACTTAAGGGGAAATATCTGGCTTCACTGTGCTCACCAGCTCGTCTTTTGTTTGGTGGTGTTAGTGGGTTTTTCAGAGTCCCCTTCTGCTGCTAAGAAACTATGCGGATGAGAGAGAACCAAATCTATGGGCAAGAAAACCAAAACAGAGCTAAAAGATGCTAAAATACTGTAGAGCTGGGTGCTAATTCTCTGTGGGTTCACCACATCATCACAAGCCACACCTTTACATTTGAGCCACATAACTTAAACATCTTAGTTAGAACAGGTTTAAGTTTTATCCAGTTGAATTAGTCTTAAATTGTATGCTGATCTAAATGTAAAATGCTGATATGCTAAAGAATCGTATGATATTGTAAATATTGGTCCAAAGCTGCCATGTCAATTCAACATTAATCGTCTCTGGTTCTGTAATTCATCACGGCTAAGAATTCAAATAAAGAGTTTATGTCTGCCTCTAGTCACAGTGACACATTTCCCCTGTCTATCTTCTGTTGCCCTCACTGATCATATCTGTGTGTGTTTGTACAAACCAGATCGTCTGAGTCCTCCGCTAGACATCCAGCTGGAGACAGTCAACTGCACCGCCTTTAGTGTACGATGGAAGATGCCCCGGCGACATGTTAGCACCATCACTGGATACAAGGTATAGCCACGGACTGGGACTTTTACTTGATATGATGACGACACAGAAGTAGTAATAAGTATTATTTTCATTTCTATGTGACTGCTCAATTGGCGACGAGAAAACATTTGCGATAAAAAGCTGTTAGCTGTTACCGTTCACTAACATGATCTTTCAGTGACACATGTGATGGTTTACTTAAAGCGCATATATTTCCCATTTCCTCCATTATTTAGCATCTTGTTCTTGATAGTCTTAAGGTGAGATGCTCCATACAGTTTGCATCAAGGTTTGCTAGCAGCCGTTTCTGTGTGACGGCTTTCTTGGTTGGTACCGCCCGTACATTTACAGAAAGTCTGAGGCAGCACCGGCCGTGTGGACACAGAAAAAAAACAGGTTCAAATCAAACGAAAAGGAGAACATTCAATTCTAAAAACAGCGGGTTTAAAATAAATAACACAGCTCTTTTTCAGAATGGATAGAAAGCTTTTCAACCTGGTAAACATGAAAAAAACTAGGTATGTGCTAAATCATATTTATTCTCACTTTGTGTGAACGGATGCCCTCTGCAAGCTGCTGGCGTGGTTGGGTCCCCACAGTCTCCCCCTGCTTTTAAAGTGCCCGTCAAATCCACTGTCCAGCAAGATGGCCTTGAGGGCAAGATTGACACGACTAAATTTCTGGTGTTTCGAGAGAAAAGCTTTCGCGGCCAAATGTATGCCTTTTAAGGGGCAATATATTTCTGAAGGTCACACATCTTTATTTTAGTGTCTTGAGTATTATGTTTTCCCCCACGCTGTGCTTTGGGTACTAAAGTGGGATTTGCTAATCTTGATTGAAACATAATAGATGCACATTTATTGATATGCGAAAGCAGATTTGTACTCTAGATATTGTGTATTGTTGCTGCTTGACGTGACGTGAACACTGACTTCAAAAAGGAGTCTTACTTACTTTATATAAATCATACTGTTTAAGTGCCCATGCTTTTTGTTTGTCGTCTTGTATGTTTATTTATTAATTAAATATGCTTGGAATGAGATATGAAGCCTTACCATAACCCAGTTTCCTCCTTTACTTTCTTCCTTCCCTCCCTCCTTCCTTCCCTCCTTCCTCTCTTTTGTTTGTTTTGAGTCAAACATTAACAAAGTGTGGATCAGTATGAGTGTACTCTGCTTATGACCATATGTCTGCACTAAGAGGATTAGTCAGCTACCTAGCCTCCCTGCGACTTGTTGATAAGCATGTGCGTTCATTTGGCCAATCACTTTAGAAGTTCATAAATAATCCTGTTTCCTCATAGTATTTCCTCATAATTAAGCTGTGTTTACAGTGATAATTGACCCTAAACGCTAAAAGGATATATATATATTTTATTGAAACATGAGATTTATGAATGCTTAAATAGGTTAGATTTTGAATGAATGAATCTGAGACTTTTTTCATTCAGATATGTTTCTGTATGAGTCTTTCTGTGTATGTTTTTTAGGTCTTCTACACAGAGATGAGGAATGGCCGTCCAATGGGTACAGCGTCTTTGATGGAGGTGCCTCTCAGCTTGGACATGCTGACCACTGTGAGTACACTGACTTCATGTTTGAAATCAGTGGTGAACATCCTTAGACTACTTCCATTATAATCAGCGCCTAAACTTTTTAACCTCCAATTTTGAGAATGAGGGAAATCTGAGCTGTGGCAAAAAAAAGAAGAAAAGAAAACAACAACAAAATATTTAGAAGATGAGGCTGGCAATCTCCATACTTTTTATAGTCAACAAATCCCATGAGATGACAAAAACTAATTGATCCTACTAAATATTGTCTGAGTAGTCAAGGCCTGATACATTTAATTCCTCCATTCCATTGTTTTCCAAAAACTATTAAAATACACACATTGTTTCATTACGGTGATCCTGGGCATTGTAGTTCATTTAAAGTTGATCCCACGTGCACCGTCCTGCTGCCTTTATACTATAATAGCACCAAATGTCTTTTAATCCGCGGCTGAAAATAGTTCTATCTGCAAATGAACAATTTACTTTTGTTCTGGTAATGCAAGTTCAAACTAAAGTGTTATAGGGAATTATTGCTTTTAAAAAATCAAATTATAAACTTGTAGCCTGTTTTTGTTTTTTTAGATCTACTTTTTAAACAAATGGACACGACGGACTGTTGCTTTTATAAGAATATACGGAATACCTAGAACCTTTAATGTTTGGTGACAATGATCAATACATCTATCATCAAATCTTGCAAGATTTAAAAAAAATCCTTTTTTACTTTCTATAAAAATGTAAAACTACGTTACTAGTGCACTACTGTTTAGTTTATTTTTTCCTACTTAGTTAATTTAATACGATTCTATTTAGTGTATATACTGTGCATTTTTATTACTTTATTTTCTTAAATTGAATAGGTCCTGCTCTGTTATTTTATTTTATTGTATTTTATTATATTGTATATATTGTGCATTTTCCATACTTAATATTTTTATTTTATGTTATTGTGTAACCTTGTTTGCTGCTGCCACAGACAAATTTCCCCTTGGGGATGAATAAAGTATATTTCTATTCTACTCCATTCTATTCTTCTACTAACTCAAAAGGGGCAATTTGATGGACAAGCAAGCTTTGTGAGTATCATTTTGCCTTTCCTTTTACTGAATTAAACCATGTCACCGCTTTCCTATCATGCTTGACATTTATAGCTATTTACTTTCCACTTTAGTCATCCCCCACTCTTCTCCCACCATCTTTCCTTCTTTCCATATTGCCTCTTGTCTTTTTTCTCTCCCTCTAACCATTCTTGCTGATATGCTCTTGCTTATTTTTTCTTTATTTTTTAAAATCTATTTGGATACCTCTAACCCCATATGCCGTTTTCCAGGATGTTGACATTGGTAACCTCAAAGTGAACTCTAAGTACAGAGTCACTGTTGGAGCGTATGGTTGGGCAGGGGAGGGAAGACCCAGCATGCCCAGAGACATCGGCACTGCCTCACATGGTAAGAATATGTGAGTAGTAGGAATCCATTTTACGGCCGATGCTATTATTTCTAACGCGGTGTTTGTTAATATCTTCAACTGAATTACATCTTTCTCTCTGTGCCGTTAGACATGTGCATGCCCCCATCGCCCCCCAGTCAGCCTGTTGTCATGGCTGTGTCTGACACAGAGCTGGCGTTGTCATGGCAGCAAGGAGAGAGCGAGGGAAGTGCACCTGTCCTTCACTTCCTGGTGGCTTACATCAGGTCAGTGAAGTGATCGAGCCCAAGACGGCATTCGATGAAGCTTGAGGTTTATGAAACCGGCCTGTTTGTCCCCCCTCGCCAGCTCAGTGCTGCTGCCAATACTCACACACACTTTTCTTCACATTTGCATTTAATTGCACCCAGGTGACACACATGAACACATATACCATCAACCCAGTCCATATAGACACTTACCAGGTGGAGAGCCGTCTGAAGTGGTGTCATGTTTCATTACTGGGTGTGAAAAGCGAAAAAAGGCTGACTGTTTTCATCTTCCTGTTCATTCTCCTAATTTACAAGCCGGCTGTCTTTGGACAGAAGTGGAAGAGGTGGACAATTCAGAGAGCTTTTCCCCAGAACACTACTCCCTTATCTTCTATGACCACACAGATTGCTTGATGGTTCAATGATTAAAAGTGTTTGTTGTGGGGCCAAGCATTGATCAATCCCAGGTTATATATAGTGTATACACTACACTACACTATACACTATAGTGTATAGTGTAGTGCAAATAAAGTGTATTTCCCAACATGTTGAACTAATTCTTTCATTTGAACATTTAAATTTATAAGCAGAAGCAATAACACACATGATGGCTACAAACATTTACATGTGCATTATTGGATATGTTTAGCTACACATTCAGCCTCCCTCGTCGTGATGTTGTGAGGCCTTTGCTGGTCTGCTTAATCTAACCATTTGTGTTTTGACATGAGGATCAGTGGAGACACGAGAAAGAAGGAATTTCATTCTCTGTCTTGTAGTGTCCGGCCTCACACACACACACACACACACACACACACACACACACACACACACAAACCGTATACACACACAAAGGACCTCTATTGTCTAGATGAGTCCCTATTACAATGTCAAGAAAGTCTGAACTAATTTGCATCAAGTCCTCTGATTATGTGTCTGACACAAATGAAATAAGGCAGATAGAATGTAAAAATGACACCATAAGAATTGTTTTAAAGGAAGTAAGTTGTAAAGATATAAGAAGAAACAAGCTTCGTGGTGCGGAGTTAACGTCCTGAGACTGAGCAAAGAGAGAGAGAGACAAAGAGAAAGAGACGGAGGCAGAGAAACTGTCACGTACTGTGACAGAGTAGACATGAATCGGAGTCTGTTTTTGCATGGAGGGGCATTTTCAACACAAAAGGGCCATTTCAGAGGCAAATATGTCTCTTCCATCAAAAGAGGCCTTGCTGAAGAGAGACATTGATCGGTGGTGAAGATGACTCTATTCAACAGATAGTTGTGGCTCCAGGCGTCCAGAATCAGCCCATAAATATGGTAGCTTGAGATGGAAGCTTAAGATGATAGGCAGAAAAAAATAAAGTTCAGGAGTTCAACACTCTTAAAGCAGAAAATAATTTTTTCAAGGCATAAAGGGCCTCAAAAACAGTAACAGAAACGATGGGAAAAACCTCTCAATCGATTGTTTTGGTTTGTTCGTCAGTTATTCTGCATTTCTGTGACTTTGTATTATGCAGAGCTCTCTAGTAATTGTACTCTATGTTTCGAACTTAAAACACATTCATCGTCCTCAAAACAATAACTTTGAAGATGTGTTGAGAATGATGATCTTTGTAAAAAGAAAAAAAAAAAAGAATCCGTTCTGTTTTGTGCAATGTAATGTTGAAAAAAAGAAAGTAAATAATATATTTTGTATGTCTTGTTTTTCACAGGCCAGAAATGGACACGGAGTGGACATACATCCGTGAGCCCATTGAGACTAACTCCATGGTTTTGAAGGGGTTATTACCGGAAACAGAGTACCAGTTTATTGTCAGGGCCGCCAACATGCACGGAGTTAGCCCACCCAGCCACATCAACAGCCCCGTGCGCACTCTCGGTGAGGCTGAATGTTGATCTCTGTGCCGACGAGCTGTGATGTGACAGCCAGCTTATTCTCAGCTCCCTTGTTAGTCTGGTTTCAACCACATTTCAAAACAAAGTCACTTTCAGTTTAGTTTCAACAATACGCCCACACAGAACTAAACAAACTGTGCTTATTTTTTCCAGCGCCAAAGTTATCCTCGCAATAAAACATTGATCATGTTCAACCGCAATGTTTACATTACATTATTGCGGAAACATTCACATTTTTCTCCCAGCATTGTGAACCAGCAATACTGTATTTTCAAAGTTTCTAAACAATTACAGTAGAGGCATTGTTCAAGGAGAGAACCAATATGTAAAGATGACTATATCAACATGTTTCACTTTCCTCTCCTACCAGATCCTACTCTACCTTTTTAAATAAAAATATCTAGCCGATAATTTAAGCATATTTTTCTTTTTTTTCACCAAATTTCTTAACATTTGGAATATTTCCCGTGTCATCATTATGGAATAAATTCAATTTGTTCCATTTATTTTGACACAGAAGCACAGTTTGACTCTCTGAGCTTGAATGTAGGACAGTGTGTCGGTGGAGCCTTGGATGATGGAGATGTAGAGCAACAGAATTATTTACTTTCATATTTTTTGATGTAGTCGGCTGCTGGGGGAGGGGGATGATCAGGCCTGATTGATATTAAAACACACAAACACACTATTTCACATAGGTGTGTACTACAGACACACACACATGCATACATGCAGTAATAGCAATGTCTTAATGGATCGGGTATCATTTCATTTACATAATGTTGTGCTCGTGTGTGAGCGGATGCTTGTGCATATCAGGCTTAGATATGACTATTAAAATCAAACAGCCATGTAGACGCAATCACATTATCCAGACGTTTTTTATTTCTGTGACCTACAGACCACACTGATGACTCTAGAAAGCCATGTGGGCAGGCGGCTTCCGCTTCACACGTCATGTTGGCTGTCAAACTGTTGAAAACTGGTCTGATTGAATTAAGTCCAGTCCTGCTAGACTGCTCAGGGACGGAGCTAGAAAGACAGACAGGAAGGGAGGTAGTGTTAGAAAGACATTGTTACAAAAAATGTCAGTAAAAGTTTCATGAAACACAAATAAATGAGCCAGTTAGAATCACAGGGAGACAGACAGACGGACAGACGGACAGAAACGAAGAGATAGACAAGCGTGGTTTCTTAGCAGGGGATAAAAGCGGGTTATGTCCGAGTCTCATCAGACAGGATTAAGGACGGGATGCCAGACCCCTACTCTGCCCATCCACACCCCTGATGGATGCACACTCACACACACACACACACACACACACACACACACACACACACACACACACACATGCACGCACACAATGCACCACTGCTTGAGTGAACAGCAGGGGTGCCTTGACTGACTGACATTTCTCGTCGTTCTCTCTGTGACTGTGTGTGTGTGTGTGTGTGTGTGTGTGTGTGTTAGCAGTTGGACACTGGGTGGTATGGAATGAGGGGGATTGTTACACAACAGAAGATTAGTTTGCTGAAGCCCCCCCCCCGTACACCAGCACTCAGTATTCAGGATTTAATGTTATTAGGTGTGATTAGGGTGTGATATTAGGTTGATTCGCACTTTAAATCTTGGCATCCATTCAGACTTAATAGTCAGGTTTCTATGAGATCCTTGTTGTTGTTTGAAGGGTTTGCTATGTTGTATAAGTAGTCTGATATCAATCAACAACTTAATACATTTCAATTCCCTCACTTGCCTAAGAGCATGGTAAACATGCAGTATTTGATATTGCAGATGGGGCGGTGGAGGAGCAAGGAGACAAGAGGGAGGGGATGTTCTTATGTAAGCTAAGATTAAGCTTTGTTACGGTAGAGTGGATGGCAAGGAAGGTGTCACACGGAACATGCACGCAATGGTTTTTTCTATCTTTTGAAACTTTATTTTGTAGAAAGGAGTTTTGGAGCATCTTAAGACATTGATTAAGATCTTAAGAAATAATTGTCTGTTTATTCAGAGGAATATTTGTTTTCATTGCTATGCTCACAGTATTCACTGTCTGGCTTTGTGTTTGCACACTATGAGCTGCCGTTGTGTATCGAGGAGACACGTTTCAGTACGTGGTTCAGCAGCCTGGGTACAGGCCAACAGGTAGACCCGCTGGGCCAGAAGCTGTTACTTCTATTGAATGTTTGTCTCCTAGCAGCAGTGAAATGTTGTCTTGTTGTCATAACCACAGAGGACTCAGGCATCATCCTTCAGTCCATTCATCTGTGCGTCTATTCCTATGAATTGGACGCCCGTTTGTTGTTTGTTGTCGGGGCCATTTTCATTTTCATTGTCATTTTTGCGGTAATTTCATGATGAGAAATATCCCACATGAGGGTGTTGTTCTTCAAGCAGAAACTAGGAACTTCTACATAACAATTTGGCTACTCATCCATTAGGTATATTTAAAGTTCTGTTACGTTTTATACTTTAGGACCATCTGTGTCAGAGGCCGCTCTCACTCACGATCGTGCAAAAGCATCCACTTTCATGTTCAAACATCCACTTTCAAATTGTAACCAGCGGCATCATATAAATAATTAAAGCAATAATAGCTATTGTTCTCAGAATGATTATTTAGCTGTATAGATCACTCTGCTGTGATGATCTGAATCCCTGATCTGAATTTAACGTTTTTACTAACATGCTGACTTGTTTCATTATTCAACCACCTTTGTTTAACCCTTCAACCACTCCGCTGCAATCATCATGTATCTTATATAACCGCCTTTGAACTTTACATAACTTGTACTAAACATCAAGTATCTTTATTGACATTCTGAACAGGTGCATCAGACGTTAGCAGTGGTGATTATGGCCGTTACATCACAGATTCAAGGATCAAAGATGAAGATGGGTTCGACATTGATGACTCTGATTATGATGTCTTTATTGAAGAGGTGGGTTAGTACATACCCCAGCAGGACAGGAATACTTCAACATGTTAGGCTTATTTAATCTTGTAAATCATCGTCCTCTTTCTAGTTGAAGCCATTCCCAGCTATCAATCAGGACAACAGGAAGTCTCAGCTCCGTTCACGCCCTGATCCGCCATCGGGTCGCAACGTTGTTTACCGCATGAACACCATCGCTCCTCCCAACGTTACTGCCCCTCCAGCTTCCTCCACCACCTCGTCCGTCTTCCCAGATTTCACAGATCTGATTTTCTCAACCAGCTCAAAACCCAGTACCACTATTGATACCACAACTACTGCCCCACTGACCACTACCAGGTAAGATGTACCTCTCACTCTTACCTTGATTTCTGTTTGACATGTCACCACCTCCGGAGTTATGGCCTCTCATTTAGAGTTGAACATTTACAGAAGTTACCCTTTGGAGGAGGGAAAAAACGGGCATCAAGAAGAAAATCACGATTGTTATTGATTTCTAGATTGCTCTCCCTCCCTGCTTTCTGTTTTCTCCTAAAAGCCACCAACAATTTATTTTTTTCATGCTCTTCCACTTAATTGTATGATTATAGATGGAGACTGTAGCAGCGAAATGTCACATCAATTTAAGCTGTCATTCTGGTTGTGACGTATAGCACATCATTAACTACTGCAAATAGGGTGGCCAAACTACCCCTGCATTTCGCTGAACATTTTGCTTTCTGCCGTTTGATTATTTCCCCGAAACACAGAGGAAAAAACAGGCATTTCAAAGCGGAACATAGTTATCAGGTAAACCACTGACTATGCACTGTCACTAAACTTATCTTTCTAACCCAACTGATCCACCTTAGCGTCACTTTGCCCACCACCACTACCACGCCAACCATGTCCCCCTGGAAAGGTGAGGTACCTCGTGTGTACGACCTGATCTGCGATGATACTGTGTGCCCCCCCGACAGCTTCTGTCTCAGCGACTTCGACGGTAGAGGCTCACGCTGCCACTGTAACCTCGGACGAAGAGGGGACACTTGCTCTGAGGGTGAGAGAAGTGTAGTTGGGTACAAGCTTTTGTAAAAGTGTGGGGTGCCACGGTAGCTGACCAACTAGAGCGGGTGTCTCACGTACCGAGGCGGTCCAGGTTCAAATCCAATCCACTTTGCATGCTGTCCCCTCTCTCTACCCCTTTCATGACTATCACTATAAAGGCAAAAAATCTTAAATGTTGTAATGCTTCAAACTTTTGTACCTCCCATCTTCAAAATGTATCATGATTTTATCCCTTCTTCAGTGGTATCTGTGAACTTTCCGAGGTTCTTTGGCTACTCTCACATGACCTTTGAACCCTTGAAGAACTCTTTCCAGACCTTTCAGATCTCTTTCGAGTTCAAGGTAAAGCACCTTGTTTTTTAACCCCCAATGATTTTTGTCATTCAAAAAGGTGAAGAGTTTTAAACAGTTTCTCTGTGACACAGGCAGACTCTGAGGACGGCTTGTTGCTGTACTGTGGAGAGAACGAACACGGCCGCGGAGACTTTACCTCTTTGGCTCTGGTGCGAGGCAAGCTTCACTACAGGTGAAGAAAACAGAGACTCTCTTATGGGTTTACATACTCAAAGGTTTGGCTGGTAACAAAAGCAGCACACAGACATTTTTGTTGAATATTTCACTCGATGTAAGCACAATATGTCGTCAGTGAGGTGTTAGAACAAGCAGAAAGAGAATAAATATGTTATATTGTCTGGAAAAAAAATCTTAGTTCCCAATATTTGATCTGATTTCCTCTCAGGTTTAACTGTGGTACAGGAGCAGCCCAGATATTCAGTGAGAGTCGCGTTGTTATCGGTCAGTGGCACATGGTCACCGTCTTCAGAGACGGCATGAGCGGCTGGCTGCGTATGGACAACGACACCCCCGTATCTGGCCGCTCGCAGGTAACAAAAACACATAAAACTGATAAGATAACGGCTCGTATTTTGTACAGTTGACCAAACTCAAAGTGATTTTGAGTAATAAAGGTTCAAGCACACGTTGGTCTCTTCACTCTTCCAGGGCCAGTACAGTAAGATCACTTTCCGCTCGCCGCTGTATGTGGGTGGATCCCCGAGTGCTTATTGGCTGGTCAGGGCCACAGGGACAAATCGTGGCTTTCTTGGCTGCATTCAGAGTCTGACCATCAACAACAAGGCAACTGACATCAGACCTTGGCCTCTGGGCAGAGCTCTGAGTGGAGCTGATATAGGTGAGCATACAGAAGCATACAGCATACAAAATATGCTGCCAGCGGTATGTGGTCCTTACCCATGTTACCCATAATGCACCAGTTCTCTCAGATTTTGGTGCTCAGACAAGTAGTTTAGGAGCAGCTAAGCCACTGTAGAAGGCAACTATGAAAATGTACCATATAAAATAGCAAACCTTTCTGGATTTTGTAATGTATACTTTCTATAACGCAGCAGAATGCACATAACCATTTTTTTTTAATGTTATGGAGTAAGAATGTTACTAGAAATAATGAAAGCACTGAAACAGATATATATACGCTGAGTCGGCCTTAATCCCCTCATATCTCCTCTCCACAAGGTGAGTGCAGTGACAGCGCCTGTGACCTGGTCAGCTGCGCCAATGGCGCAGTCTGCTTTGCAAACCGTGCCGATGGCTTCATCTGTCTGTGCCAGCTCGGCTTCAGGGGAGCACTTTGTGAAGAGAGTAAGTCAACTCTCCTTCTTTTTGTCTCACGCCTACAAAAATAACTCACTCTTGTCTTTTTTACAGGAGTAAACGTTTCTTACCACCGTGAACGTAGAACGTAAAATCCCTTTTGTGGTTTATTTTTACTTAATGGTCTCAGATTGTCACCCAAACCTTTTAAGGTAATTACTGACCAGTTGAATGCAACATGAAGGGAATGAGGATCATTATGGGGCAGAGGGAGTGATTGCATGTCAGACCAGCTTTCACACAATGTAATCTTTCACTTTCTCTGTCCTCCCCCCATGTCCTTTATCTTCTCTTCTCATCAACGTCTTCCTCTTCCTCCTCTTCACTCTTAATCATCTTTATGCTCACATGTCCTCTTTCCCACTTGGCCCAAATCCTTCTTCTGTCATTCATTCCTGCTCTTTTTTCTCTTCATGGCTTCTCTCCCAACTCTTCAGCTTTCTCCCTGTCCTCGCCTCTCTTCAATGAGACCGTGTTATCGTACGCTGTCATCCCTTGGCCTCAGTCCTCTCAGAGCTATCTGTCCTTCATGGAGTTTGAGTTGACGTTTCGTCCGTTGATTTCCGACGGGACGCTGCTGTACAGTGATGACGCAGGCAGCGGAGACTTCCTGGCTATCAACCTCGTGGACGGATACATAGAGTTCAGATTTGACTGTGGCTCTGGAGGATCTACAATCAGGTGTTAAATAGATGCACTCTCATGCTATTTTCTGTCTCCTTAACTTTCTCAATTTGTAGTTTAACTAATTGGCCTATAATGTGTGTGATGATCTGTACTCTAGGAGTGATGAGAAGATCAGTCTGGACACATGGCATGAGCTGAGGGTGTCTCGCACAGCAAAGAGTGGTATCCTTCAGGTGGATAGTCAGAGGCCAATGGAAGGAATCGCTGAGGTATTTCGTTTTTCTGTGTTGCATATAGCTGCATTATAATGTTTTCATCTGTTCATTTGCAAAGATGTCACTTTAAACACATGTTAAACTCTCAGTTTGACATTGTCTTGCTATTATACCATCATGTTACCACATAGAACAAGACAAAATACAGTTTTTACAGGTTATGAAGACAAATCAGGGGAAAACTTTTACTATTCCTTCGTCCACATGAGGGCATGTATGTGATCCAAGAAACTCACAGATAAACGGTCTTCTTATTGTTCTATTTATTGCTGGCAAAAACAAATATGTTTCATCTTAAAGTTATCATCAGCATAATCCAATGAGCAGAAATGGCAATATAATATAATAATAAGAACAATATAAATACACAGGTGGGGTTCTTCATTTATTAATCTGTATGGTAGCCTTCATCACTGTTTTCATATGTTTCCGGTCTTGGGCAGTCACTTTTATATATTATCTTTCACCTTGAGATAGTCCTTGTTGTTTCTGACTGTTACGCTCATATCTCCTTCATCAGGAGTTGTATTGTCTGGGCGGCGTATTCACAAATGAATCCTATTATCCATTTATGTATTCTATTTCCTGATTGGTGCTTGAATTTCAACGGTGTATATAAATTGTCATTTCTGTTGTATGATTACTCTGATGATGGCCTCTAGCTGAAATACGAAAGACCCACGCTTTGTTTCTTTTGTCCATGCCACTGACATAATTAACTAATAATTAACTCAAATTCTGTTTGATTTACTCTTTAGGGAGCTTTCACTCAGATCAACTGCAGCTCACCTCTTTATATCGGCGGAGTACCAGAATATGATAAAACCAAGAGGACAGCAGGTGTGATAAAGCCCTTCACGGGCATTATTCAGAAGGTATGACCACATCTACAACTGTAACACTTGTACTTAAACTTTCTTTTTTTATTTGGCAATGCAAATAGTTTGTCATTCAAAATCCATCACACTGGTAGTGAGTAAACAATAAAACAATATATATTTAAGTCACAACACTTGGTTCTGTTGCAAAAAACATGATGCATATACCATCTTCAATGAAAAAACAATGTCTGATTTGTTTTATACCTTTTCTTGCCTCCTCGTCCTGCTCTTCGTCTTTGTCGGTTGCTTTTCTTTTTTACATCCACAGCTGATACTCAACGACTGCACCATCCCAATAACAACTGGCTCTGCTGGTGGAGTTAATGTAGCAAATTCAGCTCACCCATGTGTGGAAAGTCCCTGTGCCAATGGAGGGTCCTGCAGGCCAAAGTGGGACAGCTATGAATGTGACTGCCCTCTAGGGTATGATGGGAGGCACTGCCAGAAAGGTCAGTTGGTCGGCAGTCTGTTTACGGGACTGGCTATTTTCTTTTTCTTTTTTAGCACAGTAACATGTTTGGGGTCTTTTTTATTTACTACACAAACTATACATCCTGTGACTACAGGACAGTTATAAAATAAGTGCAGTGTTTTGTTGAGGTCAAACAAATGCCAGCACATCCTAAAGGTTGACAGGACACTGCACTGATGATACGTGTAAGAACTTCCAATTCACAGTTTGGTGTGTTGTGAGTAGAGAACGACAGACATAAAAAGGTATCAGATGATACATATAACTGAAATATCAATGTGTGGTTTACACACTGCAAAATATGTGTTTTGAGCTGTTGCAATGTGCTTTTGAGGACTAGGAGTAAATATAAATCTGTTTTGGCATGTCTGTCTGTCTTTAGTGGAATGAAACCCAAAGAACTAGACGTCACACTCAGTAAGACAAGGAACAGAAATTGCAATTAAACATTGTTTAAAAAAAGAAAATCTACTGTAAATAAATGACTGATGACAATGTTTTTGTTTGTGTGTAATATGTGGCTTTAACCATGTGGCATGATCTTTCCTCTTCTCAGGGATTAAATGTGGTTTCTGTAATCATGTAATTGCATAAAAAATTATATATTGGACAACCTAATCCCTTCAGCTCATCTATACCTTCTCTGTTTTTAATGCTTACACTGATCAGAGTGTGGGAATTACTGTTTGAACAGTAAGTTTTCTTTATTGGAATTCAAAAAGCAGATTTCTAGTTTAGCCGGATTCAGTAGATACATGCAGATGCTGCCACCTTGTGACGCTATGAAGTAAATACAATGTTTTCTCTGCCCAGCTGTGACTGAAGCCATTGAGATCCCGCAGTTCATTGGCCGAAGTTACCTGACATATGACAACAGAGATATCCTGAAAAGGTTGGTCGTGAAATGGGGTTTGTGATATGTTCAGATACAATTTCCCCCCTTAAAGTTTTTATGCTGTTTTAATAATGTTCGTTACTATCATGTCAAAAGTTGTAATCACGCTTGCAAGTAAATTTGTCATTATTTTTTAGGGCGTCTGGGTCGAGGACCAATCTTTTCATGCGTTTTAAGAGCACGGCCAAGGATGGCCTGCTGCTATGGCGAGGAGACAGTCCGATGAGACCCAACAGTGACTTCCTGTCTATGGGGCTTCAGGATGGTGCACTAATCTTCAGGTAAGTGTTTGCATAAAACGCTAGGAAAACTATAAAAACACCTGTGTAAGTGTATCTACTTATTCTCGCTGAAATATATTATTATAGAGAAATATTTTTAGTCGAAGTCCTGCTTACCACATGGTTGCACTTCCCTTTCATGTTGACAACACGGGCAAGCAGGAAAAGGTCAGATTTTAGCAAGAGAAGAACGTTTAGTGTAAGAAGAGGATGAGGATGATGGGGAGAGACGCTGATCCCACCGAACGGCAGGGAGAGCTAAGCACCTAGTAGAGCTAAAAAAAGACCTGGAGTCTGGGGCAGGACCATGACCTGGAAAAGAACCAGAATGTATCTGGACAGTACCATGCAAATGTGAACCCACTACACCCTTTTGAAACCAGTTAAACTCCTTGCATGTGTTTCCATGTTGTGGTAGTTATAACCTGGGCAGCGGTACGGCTAACATCGCTGTCAACGGGACCTTCACCGATGGAAAGTGGCACAGAGTCAAAGCTGTGAGGTAAGCTCTATAAAAAAAATCCTATCAAATAGACACTGCGGTAATCACAACATCTGTGTCACTTGGCAACTCAGACAGTAAAGCTGCACCAGTTGCTTTATTTGTCCACTTGGGGGCAGCAGAACAAGCTGACATATTATCTCCTTGTCGATTTGATATATGTATATGTAAACAAGTTAGCAAACAGTTACTTTTTTACACATCCAGCAGACACGGGCAGCATTAGTGTTTATGTAGAGTTGCGAGAGTCTTGAATCAATACAGTAAACAATGAGCTAAAATATACTAAAATGCTCCCTGCGGAAAACTGCAGAGTTGCGGGATTACTGATTGTTTTCCTCCCGATGATCAACCCCTTACACATATCACAAATACTGTATGTCATTTGATCCTCCGTTGATATACAAATATGGATTATTGCACTTTTTTGTAGAAGCAATGTGGTAACCTGCTGTCCTGTCCAGCACATTCAGAGACAAGTTAACTTTCAATCCATGTGGAAAATGGCAAACCCAAGGACGTCCTTTTAAGGATTTCAGATTTAGTTCCTTTTATTACATACTTAGGGGATGCAAAAAAGCAAAGGTGAAAGTGCCACCCCATTTGTCTACTGATACGTTTTCTCATTATCTGTTCAGGGATGGACAGTCAGGGAAGCTGACAGTGGATGACTATGGAGCAAAAACAGGCAGGTCACCTGGAAAGATGAGACAACTCAATATCAATGGACCGTTATATGTTGGTATGTGGTGCTTACCACTCACAATCCCATAAAGTGCTGTACATGTAGGCTACTGTATATTAATTAATCAGTGATTTTTACATCTGCATTTGTATGTTCTCAGGTGGCATGAAAGAGATAGCTCTTCACACAAACAGACAGTACATGGGAGGCTTGGTGGGCTGCGTGTCCCACTTCACACTCTCCACCGATTATCACTTGGCACTGGTGGAGGACGCTGCTGACGGCAAGAACATCAACACCTGCTCCAACTAACACATGGCGTAAACGCGTAAAAGTGCGCTTTCAGCAACATTTTCAGCTGGAGCGAACACCTTGACCGGCTGATTTGTCATCTTGAAACTGACTAAAACAATAACATATTGGCCTTCCTATTCAGGGCTGACGTGGTACAAAGTCAAAGTGCGAAAAGACTAACAACAAGGTTACTTTGACTCACAAGAAGATTAAAGAGGCTCCTGTGTGCAAAGTTTTCAAACCAACTTAAACCTGCCATGTTGTACGTTTTTATTGATGAATAGCTCTTTTGAAACATGGCAACTGCAAAATAAAAATAAATAACACCAGAGGCAAAGCACAAGTACTCTGTGAGCTTTAGCATAATCGGTAATGAAGGTCTTTGAAGGACAATTTTTTTTTGTTTTTATGGGATGATTCTAATCGTATGTTTATTTTTTTTCTACTGTAAATCCTTATTTGATTGCTGGAAGAACCAAGTAATCCGAGGGATCAGGAGTCATCACAAGTTTTTCATGATCCTGACCTAGAGCAGCTAGCAGAGATAAACGTCTTTGTAGAGGATTTAGTTTGTTGGCCCTAGAGGATTTGAGGATCTGTTGTTTTTGTTGCACTCGTATTATTGTTCGTGATGTTTTATCAGTCTGTAGACTACATTTATTTCTGTAAAGTCTAGTTTTGAAGGGTGAAGAGATGTGAGCTGCACACAACATTTATTTCTGTATACACTCTCTTTTTAGTTTACATGCTCCTTTGCTAGGAACTCTCAGATACTAGTCACATGAAAGCCTGATGTTGACGCGGGGAGGCAGCCGAAATCCTGGAGAAATTGTGCATGACTGTTAAATCATCTGACACAAACCACCGCCCTGTGGACGTCAGTCTTCAAGTTGAGCTTTTGTTGTCACACCAGAGGAAATGGATAATCTCTTATTCCAGCATTTGCGGTGCAAGATTGTCTAATTAGTTTCAATGCCTGAGCTGTACTACTTCAAATTAACGTTCTGCAGATGTTCCAGCTGTTGTGCATTTCTTCTAATTCATCTTGCTTAACTTAATTGTTGTTCCCCCCCCCCCCCCCCAAAAGAAGTGACGACAATGTCAAAATAAGATGAGGCACATACACCTTGGTTGTAAGTTTTAGCTCAGAACAAGTCCCGTAATAAATTGTCAGTTATTACACAAAGTTTACTTCTTGAATTTATTTTGAGGAGAGTGAAAGAAAGTCAGTGGTCGTGGCATTTCAACAAGTTTATCAAGTCTGAAAGGCATGTCAGATGAAAACCACCGTGTGAATGTGTAACGTGAATGAGCATGAGTGACATTGGTTTGAGCATCCACTGTACAAAATGTAGCACGTGTGTTGAAACTTGTTTGTCAAACAGCTGTTGACTGTAGGAAGATGTTGGTGCAGTGTCTGTGATGTCACCATATGTGTCTGAAGATCCATTTATGCTCGCTGACAACTATGTTCGTTAGTGATGCCAGATAATCCAGATTTCTGCAAAGGAACTGACCTGGGTAGAGCTGAAGCTGGACAAGCAGGAACCACCACGGCTGAGTGTGCTCATCCCAAAACTACTCAAGCCTCAACATGCCCCATAATAATCCCTCTAACATGAAAAGGAGTCATTTACAGGTGCGAGGAACTAGTGTCACCATTTGTTATATGATGTAAGATGATTATAGGAGAGTTTGAAAGTATACATTTACATTCCACGGTGAAACAAATTCATTAAGTGAGTTAACATTAGATTTGATTTGCGATCACACACATTTCAAAGGGTATCAGCCATGGACTTGACAAAACAGTTATAGAACTTTTTGCTTTCCCTAACCTTATTCAAATACTGTTGGTTGCTACACTTGCACTTCTTGTTGGTACTTGTGGGACATGTTGGGAACAACAACCTGTGAAAAACACACACACAGCAGTTCTGGATCTAAGAAAATGTTTTCTTTCGCATCATTTTGTACAGAACATTTTTAAACGACGGTCCACAAACAAACACACAGCAACACAATGTCCAGGAAAGGAATGGTCTGCACATCAAAAAGACACATTGAATTCCTGTATAAAAAAAAAAACGGCATTATTGCGCTTTGTCGAAGTCCTTTCAATCCCATGCAATGTTGCAAGATTGACATAACATTTCAGAACATTCTGGTTGTTTTATGGCATCCAGGTAGCTCCAACATTTTTCCATTGTGCTTCGAAAATAGGGCGGTTTGATACACTTTTATCAGCTGCAACACAAACCAGCTCAAAAGTATTCGGTCGAGTCTGTAACGTCTTACTGATCACTGTACAGTTATGGGTTTGACATAAAGAAGGACATTGTCTTGCTTAGATTCAGCACACACCTCCATCATGTTAATGTAACCATGTTACGGATTAAGATTATCCTTGTGATGTCAGCTGCTGACAGATAACCTACGTCGTCTTGGTACCTCTTACCACCTCATTTGCACATTGCTGGAGAACAGATGGCACATTTAATTGAGAACCGAGTGTCGCTCAGTGGAATTTTATTTTGAATTTTATTTGTTTGTGCGACCGCTGCTGTTCTTGTCCTGTCTTCTAAACACACGCAGGAACTCGTGTACACATACACACAAACACAGGGCACTCCAGGACATAAACTAGAGTTACAATAAACTCCACAGCGTTCACACTCAAATTAACTAATGAATCCAGCTGTTTCATATTGATGAAACCATTTAGTTATATTGAGGTCACCCACGTCTGATCACAGTCTAAGGTTATAGGTAATGTCTGAAAGCTTTAAACATGCCACATTTAATTCACTTGTTGTAATTTGGTTGTATCTAATTGTTCTGTATGTTCCCTGTGTATTAATGCTTTCAGAACAGTTACCTAACCTGCATCCCAACCCCAATCCATTTTCTCACTCAGAACGTTAATCTCGACTTGAATACCATAACAAGTCATGTTACATACGCCAGGAACACCATAACCTCATCCTGCTCTACTTACAGATAATGCCGCATTTAAAGGGTTGACCCACCCAAATGGCAGAAACACATATTTATGTTCAGGTTATGTCTAGTTTATGCTTTATGTCCAGGTTTTCAGCAATCAACGGTAAGCCTTTGAATGAACACACTGACTCTTGTAAAAGCAAGAGCTTTCGGAACACACTTACATTAATTACAAAAGCAGTTGAAATGAGCATCGTCATTGCAACAGCCTGATTAACAACAAACGTTCTCTGTGAGATAAATTAATACACTGGTCATGTGTGCAATGCAAGTGTTAACATTTAACGTGAAAGATTGGTTAGGATTTGAAAGCAGGCAACGAGTGACAAGAACTGGGCTGAAACAAAAAAATTGGAAACATATTTTGAATTCATAAGACACATTAAATTAGTACGAAAAAAAGCAAACTTGCATCTTCTGTTGGCTCCTGTTTCTCTGAGTAATTCAGAGTAATTCAGCGGGAGAGCCTCCAGGAGATGAATGGAAATAACAGTAGAAGTCATTTGACCTTTGTCTTTGTGCACACATTTGTCTTTGCTCACATAAGGAACATAAGGAACTGTGTTACCAAACAAGGTGATGTTCTGTTGGATCTCTATTCCCCGTGTTCTCTACACAGAATACACTGTTTTGTTTTGCCAAATAGGGATATGTGTTTTTCTGTGACTGAAAAAAGAACATAATGTACAATGACATGTAGCATTGGGAATGAATAACTCAGTAATCAGCTGGAACAAAACATTATCAGGCTAGAATATCAGACTCTGCTGCAACAGTCTGTATAAGCCATGATGCTTCTTATGAAAACTTTTCATTTTGAATGATAAATGATGAAAGAGTGCAGTTCATCCTCTCAGGGAGATGTAAATTTAAACAGGTGAAAGCCGGAGAGAACATGTCATGGTGCCTGGCTCTGTGTATATTAAAAGCACAGCCGGCTTTTTCCTCTTAGTGTCGGGTCACACCAGTAGTCCTTTTATGTGTAAAATCAATAATACATATGATCTACAGACACCAGAAAGGAAGTGTGAAATGTTGGGATGGAGGGACAGAACTTCACTTGTGTCTGTTTAACCACAAGTGAAGAGAGATTCTGTTCTTTTTTTACTTCTTTATTCTGGTTTTGTTATTAAAACTGGAAAAAAACAAAAGATTAGAAAGTTTTGAGGACACTCTGAAATACAAATGAGAGACTAATCCTTTAAGCCCAAAGATTACACATGTGCATGAATTTAGGAAAATTGTCTGTCTCTGATTCAGACTGAATCAGAGACTTGGGAGATATTTTATGACAAAAGAAAATAAAGAATAAATATACAATGGGTAAACTTTCAAAAGACAATTTTTACTGTGAGAGAAGCAAGTCTGTCTCACTATCATATGATACTAATTGCTCTTCAGGGTCTTCTCAGGTCACTCAGTGTTGCTTCTCGCCTGTTTCTAGTGTTTGCTGATATGAAGACAAGGTGGATAGTGTCTCCTCATACAGTGTTGAAAAAACACATCTATTCTTTGATGACATTGTTGAAATCCTTTTTTGTGAAAAATACATCTCCATGTTTTTTTCCAAAGTTGCTGTGTTTACAGTACAAAGTTCCTCCTTTGTGACAGTAGAGCTAAACTGTCATGTCAAAATGTTCTCTCTTATATCACGAATAATCCCTGAAAAAACACACTCGCACCTATTACTGTGACTGATTTTAGGTTTCATGAAAATGCTTTAAATAGGACTGTGGTGTAGTACATATTCATCATGTGATTTACTTAGAAAACGTTTTTTAACTTCCCTCAGCCATAATCATTTCTAAGAAAGAAATAAACGAATCAAAACATTTTGTTTCATAAGAGCACTCACGTGAAAAACACATTTCATGGTTGGAAAAGTGATTGCTGAAGAACATTATGAATAAAGACAAATGTTGTGGTTGTGTGACTCAGCAGCAGTATTTTGGCTCAATTCTGCGCTTCATTCTCAGCATCACAAACTGCTATTTTGCGTGCAGTGCGGCAGCTTCTAATTCAGCCTGATGGAGCGGTTGTTGCCTGGTTTCACTATGCTTCAGATCCTCTGTTTTGTTGGTGGCTATCCCAGTGGTGCGCCCACTGGTGCCTGTGAGGACATGCTGCCTCGCCATTCTGGGGTGCTGCCTCAGCCTTCACCAGCGCCTTACGCTCTTCTCACTAACACCAGGATGTTTCAGCCAGGCGAGGCCATTACAGGTAAGATGTTCAGGAGTACTTTTAGATATAAGAGTAAAAAACAACACAATGAATATTACAACTCATTAACAAACCAGTAGACAGGAAGCTGTCAAAATATATATATAATTTACCAAGTTTATGGGATTATAATTTAACAGTTGACAAGTGCTGATAGCAAGGAAACCTTATTATCTTTAATTTGAGCTTTGTTGTTTCTACTTGGATGCTCAGACTCGACCTCAAACTCACATCCTGACATCCTCTACTCTGTGTTCACTGTTATAATTATTTTGAGCCATTATATTAATGTTAAAGCTGCCATGAGACCACTGTTATGTTACTAAAATGAGGCAAAGTGAAAACAGTTTTCCTTGGACCTTTTCTGTGTACGTATGCATTTGTTTGTGAGGGACTAAGTGCTTACTTTTGACACCATTGCTGGTCTGCAAATAGTATTATTTTAGTGTATATATATTATTAATATGTATATCTTATTTATCTGTCATTTAGTTCGAAGGCTGTATTTTTATAAACCAAATGCAAATGTTAAGATAAGACTTGTCAAAAACATACAGTGCTGGCTCCAATAAGTGCTGTACTGCTGTGTGTTCCTGCAGTGGTTATCGCTGGACCAGAATACAGAGGTGTGCTTCTGGAGGCTCGGACAGATGGAAGCACTGATGCTCTGGGGAGCTGGCAAATCCCTCCTCCAGACACAAGGTTTCTTCAGGTGAGTCTTAAGGACCTACACTCCTAAAAAAAGGAACTCTACAAGGTGCTGTTACTCATTCCAACACCAACCTGAAGGGCAACACCACTGTATACAGCTGGATACCACCCAATTCTACAAGCCATATCTACTTCATGTAAAGCAAACTACTTTTTCTCCGCTCTTTTACAATCTCAAACGCATAAAGCAGCTTAAAAACCTCTGCTCTCTTACTCTGTTTTTTTTTTTTTTTTTTTTTAGGCCCACAGTAGCTCAGCAGCGCACAGTTTTCTGGATCAATGTGAAGTCTAACCCTCTGATCAGAGGTAGGTACAGCAGGGTGACAAATGAAATGTAAAATCACAGATTTCTGTTGTGATTTATTCCTCATCTGCTGCTGCAGGGACACCAGGTGGTCTCAGTCTGGCTACAGGTGCAAGTGCAAGAATGGCTGAAGAAAAACCTCTGCTTCTCCTTGTGATATGTTTGCTGTTGTTACAGGTGCTGGGGTGAACATCATGTGAAAAAAAAATGTTTCCTGCATTCTGTTAGACCCTGAATGATGCTGTCTATAAAAGAATCACAAAATCGATTTTCCATTTAAATCAAACATTTTGCAGACATTATGGCATATCAACTTGAATTTTGATGATTTGTTATCCAGATTTTGTACTAAACATGGAGCCTAACAACATTTGTGCACATGTATTTTACTGCGATATGGAGCATATGGTTACGATCACGCTGCAGATATAAGTAGCTCTGTCCATCTTGTCAATATCCATTCACTCGCCGCGGACATAAATGATAAATGTACCTTTACATTTACACTGCATCATGCAGTCTGGTCCATAGCTTTTATGGTATGTGTTCAGTCCTATTTAATACGTAACAAAACATGTGGCTATCTGCAAAGAGAAGAACAGGGGCAGCTTTACAGACCTGAGCTGCCATACATTTCAACGCTTTCAACAAAATATAAAACATTTTTAAGAGTAGGTTTCTAAGAGTACGTGTGAATATAAGAAGACAGTTCTGAGGACACCCTCTGGCTTTTGTGATATTTGATACTCTACCACAGTATATTGATCTTGTATTGATGATCAAGTTAATCCTTCACTTCTCATAATGAAAAAAAGTGCATCACATTAATTGCATTCCTTCACAGTGAGAGAGGTATTGGCAACGAGGGAAAGAGATGGCTTGATGGAGAGATCCAGAGTCCTACCGTAGTTGTTTGTTATTGGCTGAAATTCCATGTAACGGAGAGCGTGCTAGGGACTGCTTTTTCCACATTGTATGATCTATAACCTAGATTTCCAGTATGGTGGTGAACAAAAACCCAGGCAGATAATAAAGAGGCTTAAAGCATGCATTGCATGTGAGACTTAAAGCTCTAATACCATATCCATAATTTCCTGCTCTACTCCCATTTTTGTGCTTCACATGCTCCTCCTAATATCCGCGCCTGACACCAGAGCAGCAGGTGCACAGTCTACTTTTACTAAAGCATGTTTAGCTGTTAGAATGAATGAAGTGTTTTTATTCACAACCAGTTTAAAGCGACCACAGAAACAAAGCCCACAATCCATGTACAGCAAAACAAAAAACAGCAAGTTAATTTGTGTTGTCAAAGACTGACTCCCCTGTTAAAAATTAATAAGAGGATCTTGATCACAGAGACAATAACAATAACACTTTTTTCATCACAGAAATACATATGACGAAGTTTAAATGCAAAACTTCAGTTTGCACCTCATAGAAACTTTCATAGAACTTGGTGAGAAGTTAGGGCAGGGGCCAAGGAACATGTGATCACATGCCAAAAATGAATAGAGTGTATCTCTGCAATTACTATTTGAGTCATTTTAGCATCATAATAAATTAAATTATTAAATTGAATAAATATTAATACTTCTGCGGTGTAAGCATCAGTATATGTGTTATTGGATCAGAGTAAAGATGGAACAAGATTTAATTTCCACCCAACAAAACTGTGCACTTTTAGAGTGAACATCCATTTGGAATGATGCAGTTGTACCCTCTAACAAACTAAATCACAATATCTGAACATTACCTGTGCACAGACGGTAATAAAGTGGCGCAGGGCAAAGCTGGAGAGGTTTTAGTGGAGGCATGTTAAAGCTGAATCTTCAAATTGGCCATTTGGGCACATTTGATCATCTGTGCCACTTGAAATATTCTCAGGTAACTGTAAAACTCTTTTAATTTAATTTCACTACAGGTACTAATTCTATCTATATACAGCCTGTATTGTTTGTATTGTTTTTTTAAAATAAATAAATCAGACCTCTATACAAAGAAAACCATAACCCATTGATCTATTTGACCAGCTCTGTATTGAAAGCCAATGCCTTTAAGACGAGTGTAGCATCATGATAGATTCATCCACTGGATGGATACGTTGATCGTGTTTTCACATTGAAGGCTAAGGATATGCTGTTTGATGCCAGAGGAAGGTAGAGTGCAAATGAGGACAGGCGGCTGTAGTCAACTCAAAAGAAGTACGTTGCTACATATTGAACACACCCTTATCTGGTGTTTGTTGCAATGTATGCAACTCTCCCTGGTACCCGGGCCTCTCCGGTTCAAGAGGAAAGGGGAAATCGTGAGATAGACAACATCATTTTCCCATGAACTTCTGCCCTTTCTTGAGTGGGCTGAAGTTAATACATGCATTCAATCCCACTCGACAAACCTCCTGGTGCTCCGTAAAGTATCTGCAACTTATTTCCCTCTGTAGTGAAATATTGATCTCCAACTGACTTATGTGCCTGAGGACACAGTCCTGGTGACAGGGCCAGCACCACTCAATAATAATTAGTATATTTTCCACTGTGCGCCAAAAGCTAACTATAACAGGGGATTCATACCCAGGACTTAAGCACCAGCGCTACCAGTTTGTTCAATACTAATTGACTCATTGACATGTGGAATTCTGACCATGCATTGTGAATGCCACACCACTGATGTGTTTTTCCATCCAGACAAGGTCATTCATCCAGATGGTGTGGAGTGAAACAGAGGGGAAGCTACAGATAGTTGGAACTCTGAAGATGAGAGACATGGACTTATAACCTAATAAACCACAGTGGAGTATAATACATGAAAACACTTTGGAAATCTTTCACCAACACTACTTTCGAAACTAAGTTTTTGATTTGCGAGCAGGCAATTAAACTCAGTTTTCTGGCCAAAATGAGTTATTTTTAATTAGGATGCGTATCCATTTTGAAAGCATAGTCATTGAGTAAACAAGTATTACGAGTAGAGATTCGACTGTGGTGCTGTCAAGCAGAAAAACAATTGTGCTGAGTTGTCAAAAGTCAGGTCTGCAACAGGCTCTCTACTCTTTTAGTAGGCTCTCTACTCTAGCTCTTTTTCTTTTTTCTATGATTTGCTAAAAGACCTAAGAGGCTCCTGAAATATAAATTAATTCAAAATAAGGCCGAATAACATTTCTACTTAATCAATGAAATCTTTCAAAATAATTTCAAATCTACTTTTCAAGTAACATTTGAATGGAGCGGTCATCTTGTGCATAAGTGTTGGATGAGGAAGATGTCTTGGCTCTTTCATCTTCCTCTGATCCCTCTTTAACTCACGCTTGTTTGCACAGACTGTATTAACACGACAAGTGGCCTTGCAGTCACAGTCAGTGTAAGGCAAACCAACATCAAATTTGACCTGATTCATGTAATCAAAAGTGTATACTCCCTCGTCAAAATGATGACATTTGTATCAACATTTATAGCACTAGATGTCCTGGTGTGTATTTCCCTGCTGTGCTGACACAAACACAAACACAGTAACTGTGTTTAGGTCATCAAGGCTGGCAGAACCCAACAACAGTATTCCCTGAAAACATCTGCACGTGTGGGCTGTGGGAATGTGATGTAGTGCACAAAAACATATACGCAAGTACACGTGCATGCATGTATGGACAGACGCACACATATATGACAAAGACTTACATGTAGAGTATATCACATAAGTTCTTATTACAAGCAGATCAAACACTGATCCACATGCATGCACAGTGCACAGATTAAGGCTATCCCTTGCTGTAGGGGCTTAGTTGACATCTCTGTCTAAGCTCTGCATTCTTCACCTCCCTCTATTCCCTTCATCTCCTTTACAACATGTCCAGCACCATAAAAAGCATGCTTCCATCCGATGTCATGTCGGCAGTCCTAAGAATATCATTGAGATAACGGCTGAATTAAATGCCCGTTTGCTCTTCCGAAATGGATCCTGATGATATTAACACCACTATTAATGAAATTCTTCTTAGTGTATTGTATTCTTTGTATGCGCCCTTTCTAAAATCAAAAAATATTTAAAAAAACAATCCGTATTTAATATAGGCTGATGGTTTCACCACAATACAACACACAGAGTGAACAAACTAGTATTAGATGTTACTGATTATCTTGTTTTTCCCCCAATTGTACAATCATATTGGCAGATTTAGATAAAACCTTTGAACGTACTCATTCTATTTAAGACTTCCCTAAAGCTAGCCCTTCTGCACATTAATAACCTGTATCTACAGCTAAAGGGAAGGGATGACATGTATGTGAGAAGTGTGTGTATGTTCTGGATCATGATGCGTGCCTTATGACTCAGAGCTGTGGTGAACACGTTGGGAATGGGAAGATTCCAATGAGTGATCTTAAAAAGTCTGTACGTGTTGGTGACTGCGAGCACAATGATGTGCACAATGATGTCGCCGCAGAGCGTGCGATATTTGGACGAGAGGACACGCGTGAGGTTTCACAGACTGGTCAGCTTGTTAATTGAATGGCTGTACTGGATTGCATACTGGTAGCAATCAATAGACATGAAAGGTGATATATATGCATCGTAGTGTGCGTGTTTACAAAGTCTGAGTTGGCAGTATTAAATGGCTGTTAATACTGGTAGAGTTAGAGAACATGATGTCTGTTATGTAAGGACCTCGTAGTTAAAGAGTTAGAGCTCAGGGCTGGGCTGTATTACATGACGGATGGGGAGGGGAGAGAGAGAGAGAGAGAGAGAGAGAGAGAGAGAGAGAGAGAGAGAGGTGAGGATGGCAGTATGTTTGAGGAGAAGAGAGAGTATGACAAGGGGGTAGGGCTGAGAGGGCAACACAGAGCAACATGGGACAGCGAGAGAGACACACATAGAGAGAGATGAGCGGATAGAAGTCGCCATTTGGCAAGATAATCAGAGACAGGCCTCTGATTCAAAGCTTGGTGCACAGCTGGTGTGATGGGTGAGGAGGCTGCAGGCTGACACTGAGTGGATGGACAGCGGCTATGTGCAACGAGTGGGGGATTTTAATATACTGGATGTTTATTATCCGTTACTCAAGTATCAAACAGGACACATTAAGTGGAGGACATGTTGTTAAACTGCAGACCAGAGTGGAGTAACAGACTGGATGTTGATTTGGTGCATTTGGAGGTAACTAACGACTGCACGGCTGTGGACGTCGTCTAGCATCTAACACTGCTGGACAAAGAAGTAAAAGAGGAACGTTTGTTTTTCACTTTTTTATTATTTTCTGAATGATATAACATTAACTCTTGATAACATTTGGAATTATAAAAAATATATAACTTTGTACAGATCACCCTTATTAGTCTTCCAGCTTTTACTCCAGAAGTAAACCTATGGACTTTACAAAGTGGAGATCACCTTCTCCTCCATATTCATTACAGAGTACCGCATGGATGGTCTACGAAGAACAAGGGCTTTCCTCAGTGAAGGTAATCTTGATCAATCGAGACCTTAATGTAGCACGGTCTAAAGAAGATACTGCACATCTCCCCTTGCATCTCTTCTACAAATGATACTACAATGGAGCCAAGACACGAGCAAGGCAAAGTTTACAAAGTTCTAAACCCACTGCACCCTGCCAGGTTGGCAGTCCTGATGAGGTGTTTGAACCATGTGGTCCACTGAGAGCATGGAGCCAGAGAACGCCCACACCCAGAGAAGCTTCTTCAACAAGGTGGATGTGCCTGACCATGCTCACTACATCGTTGCCTCGTTTGTCTTTGTCATCGGGACGCTGGGCATCACTGGCAACGCCCTGGTTATGTTCGCCGTCTATAGGTGGGTGTGTGCAAGGGATTTGGTTTTTTTGATTTACATTTTTGAGTCATCGGTAAGAGAACAGGCTCCTCTTACCGTCTTTAATGTTGGTCTCTCTTTATTAATCAGATCCTTGAGGAGATGTTATAATCACTCAGAGATGTGATGGTCTCCCAGAGAGAAGGACAGAGGGACTGGGTTGTGTGGATGTGTAAGTGGGAGGGGTTTGATTGATTTAGGAGGCAGATGCATCTTAATTTAAAGTTGAGTGTTGATTGCTGTCTTTAATTCACTGCAGAGTAAGGGTCAGTATTTTCCATGTCTTTTACTCTCTAGAGGATCAAAGGGGGCGATTAGCATTGAAATAATCCCTGCATCTTAGTGTTCTGGTCAAAGCATCACCTTTAGTAGAATGAGGACTTCATCAGAGTAAATTGGTCCTGTATCCTTGAGAAATACCGTGGAGAATTGTGCTCTTACCCAAATGGAATTATTTGTATGTAGTGTAAAATGTGTCTTTACATTGGTATCACTGGTTTCTTTTTAAGTTCGTCTGAAATGTGTCTGTTTTTTTTTGGGGGGGGGGGGGGGGGGGTTTACCGCCATAAATCAAATTTACAATTCAGTTCAAATCATTTGCGAAATTCACACAGTCCATTTAAAGTCACAAAGTGTGACTCTGAAATGGAAGTCAAGAGGATAAATGTGCGTTATTTGTTGTATAATTTGGACTGCCGTTGACCTCTTATTGTGTTACTTACATTAACGGTTTCACAGAAACTGGGTCAGAGACAGAAAGTGCGTGTGTGTGTGTATGTGTGGCCTGGGGCTTTTTTATTTCATCTGTCCATTACCGTGGATAGATTAGATGGGTTCTTCATTGTGTTGTGCTGATAATGTGTTTACTGATTCACAAATGCACATGATGTTATGAGTTCCAAGTAAATTCATTCACACACGAACACACACGAACACGCACACACACAGTGAGAGAGAGGGGGAGGGAGATCATGGTCTCTCAAGTGAGATGTCACCCGATATGATGATTTTCCAGGAATGAAAATGAGTGCCATATAGGCATTCACACGCACAGACTCATGGTCACACAAACAAACACTAGCAGTGATATAAAAACACACAAACATTTTAATACACATACAGATGTTCAAGACACTCAAAGGATTACCTCACCTGATTGTTTTTGCCGTTCGATCAGAGAGCAGCCACTTTTAATTCAGCAGATGTAGAAACAGAGATTAATTGATGAAGAGCTGTGGAGGCAGACAGCAGGTCAATGTGCTGCTCAGTCAAGCTGCTGTGAATGACGGTTTATTGAGTTACGCATTCAAACAAGATACATGACACGGCAACTGACCCTTTTCCTTCCCTTACTAAAGAAAGCATGACTGACAGACATTTGCTACAACACACAACCAAGGGAGAAGCTGACTGATTCCTGAGCACAGCTCTTCAAAGTCTCTCTAACTAAAGGAAACAAGCCTAAGAACATGCATATGAAAGTCTTTTTTACAGTATATAAATATTTATTGGTTGCATATAATATGAAAATTACTCACCTACCCCTAATTAATAAAAATGTATATAATATCACAAACAACATCAAATCCTTGTCAGTATACTTACCTGCTCTGCTGCTATACACATAAACACAACAACTAAATAACTAACTCAACTCAACTAAATAAAAAGCTCATAGGTTGACCCAAGTGAATGAAGGGCAAAACATTTGTATATTGTCACCATTGGCAATAAAACTTTCTATCCTTTACACCCTCTGTGTGTGTGTGTGTGTGTGTGTGTGTGTGTGTGTGTGTGTGTGTGTGTGTAGTAACAAGAAACTCCGTAACCTGCCCAACTACTTCATCATGAACCTGGCGGTCAGTGACTTCCTCATGGCTTTCACACAGTCCCCCATCTTCTTCATCAACTGTCTCTACAAGGAATGGGCATTTGGAGAGATGGGTAACATGCACTCTTCTTTGTTTTGCAATCAATTTAAGATTGTACATTTATCAAGAGGACATAACATGAAACAGTATTTTGTATGTGTTCCTTCTCTGCAGGCTGTAAGATGTATGCGTTCTGCGGCGCCTTGTTTGGCATCACCTCCATGATAAACCTCCTGGCCATCTCTATCGACCGTTACCTGGTTATCACCAAGCCTCTGCAGACTATTCACTGGGGCTCCAAACGGAGAACCACCCTGGCCATCCTCATGGTCTGGCTTTACTCCTTGGCTTGGAGTCTGGCTCCTCTTGTTGGCTGGAGTGAGTTTTGTCTCCTTTACTTTGCCACAGAGCTGAAGCTCATTAATACAGTATACGTGCTGTGTGAGAGTCTAACAGAAACAGGCAAGATGACCTGTGTAACCAATCCACCTGCAGTTACTCACGTCACTGTGATCTTAATCTACTGTGCCACGAACATTATACATCAAAACAAAACCAAAGTCTGAAGTCAAACGAAACACAGAAGCATTGATGTTTTCTCCTGATATCTTACTTCCTGTGGTTTCATTTCACCCCTGTAGGCTCCTATATCCCAGAGGGCCTGATGACATCGTGTACATGGGATTATGTCACGTACACATTGGCCAATAGGAGCTACACGATGATGCTGTGCTGTTTTGTTTTCTTCATCCCACTGGGAATCATCTTGTACTGCTATCTCTTTATGTTTCTGGCGATACGGAAGACTACCAGGTATTGCAACTCTTATATCAGAGAGTATGTGAACATTATGTGGGTTTTGCTTGTGGACTGCAGGTGGAGATAAAGGCAATGAATATGAGTATGGACAAAATATCACTGTCGAATAATCCACAATGATAATCCTCCCAACAGGGAGGTAGAGCATCTGGGGACTCAGGTGAGGAAATCCACTCTGATCAAGCAGAAGTCCATGAAGAGTGAGTGGAAGTTGGCAAAGATCGCCTTTGTCGTCATCGTGGTTTATGTCCTCTCCTGGTCACCGTACGCCTGTGTCACACTGATTTCCTGGGCCGGGTAAGACTTCTTTCATAAATGAGATTTTTTTTCTGCTGCAATGGTTTTAGTGTGCTTGTACATTTCTAGATACTTTATCTTGTACATGTCAGCGTTCTCTGAGGATTCCAACCATTTACTTTTTAATGCATTGAAGGGCAGAGTGCCTGAGTCCACCAGTGGCACTGTGTGTAGTGTGCTCCGCGTGTTAACATGCTAAACATGTTGCTCAATAAGTTGTACATGAAGAAGCTGTTGTGGAGTGACTATGGCAGCACATGTAGTTGGGTTTACAACCCAAGTTATAAAGCTTAAACAGACATGAGTTTACGGTCTAAACCGCTAGTTTCTAGCAATTTGGGTAAAAATCCCTCCAAAATGGTGTCGAATGTGTCATTATGTAATGTTGTGTCAGCTGGAGGCCAAGTACCCTGGATGAGTGACATACGGTGAAGTTGCTCATAAATCCTGTGCTTATCCAACCCATCACAATATTCACTAAACCACGACTCTCGGGACAAACAGAAGGATGAAGTGTAATTTGAAATCTTTCCCCTGCTCATTCACAGGGGAAAGGTAGCCATAGACACACACACACTCACACACACACAAACACACATATCAGATGGACTGAACCACCCCTCAATGGCAGCTGGCACATTTTGGTTAATCCCTGATCCAGTATCCCCCTCTCTTATGATACCAGATATAGGAAGAAGAAGGGAACTTGAAGTTGTGGTGTTGCCACACCAGTTTTTTTCTAACTCCTGCTGTTCTGTCTCATTCAGTCATGCCAACATCCTGTCGCCCTACTCCAAGGCTGTCCCTGCTATCATAGCAAAAGCCTCTGCCATCTACAATCCTTTCATCTACGCTATCATACACAACAAATACAGGTAAATGATGAATCCGAGTCATGTTTCCTGTTTTACCTTCACTCTTTATCTTATTGCGCAGATCTTGTTTTGGAAGTCGTAGTTCATCATATCCATCTTTAAAAGCAAAACGAAACAAATTGTTTGTCTGTATTTTATTAGGATGACTCTGGCAGACAAGTTTCCCTGCCTGAGGTTTCTGTCTCCCACTCGTCGAAAGGAATGCATCTCCTCCTCCATCAGTGAGTCCTCTTACAGGGACTCCATCATTAGCAGGCAGTCTACAGCATCAAGGACTCACTTTATAACAGCCTGCTCTGACATGGTAAACCTTTTTTTCTTACCTGTATTTTGTTGTTCTATAAGATCCACTTTTTCTTTATTTTTCCATTAAAAAAATTATATTTTTCACTGCAGGTTAATGTTTAAATGTTTCTTGACACATTTTGAGTTTTACTCATGTTCATGTTCATGTTTTGAGTTGAAGTTAAATTGCATGCTCTATGCATTTGAGGGGAATTACTCTTGTATTATTTTGTTTCAGTTTAGTTCAGTTCTGCTCTCATTAACGCTGCTCTGTCCCGCAGGTGTTAAAGGATGTAGAGATGGAGCCTTTGGGAAGGAAGTCAGGGGATTCCTTCAGAAGCATACCATCATACAGACAGTCTTCCAGAGGCAGGTCCTATAAGAAACAATTAGAGCGGAAGAACCAAGCAACGGAGAAGGTGAGAAACACTATGTGTAAAAACTGTGATTTCAGCTTCAATTTGCTTTGGGTTGTTGAGAAAACAGTTTTTTTTTCCCTTCACATTGCCAGCACCCGTCTACCATGAGGGAACCATCTAACACCTGTGAGCATGAACTGGTTTCCAGCTCTCTCACCGTCGCCTCTCTCCCCTTACTGGTTCTTACAAGGAGGCGCAGTCAGAGTCTGACCGATGACATTTCAGATGCTGGGGAGAAGAAAGGCTGCGTCAGCGATCTCAACAAGAGCGACTCTTTTGATTCCCTGAATTTTGGAAAAGCCTCATTCACTGATCCCAGCTCGCCTCAGGGTGTCCCCCGCATTATCGTCATCAGTCCCACATCTGAAAGCAGCCTCATCGATCATGGCAGTGTCTGCTTAGAGGACAGTGTTGAAGCCATGGAGAACAATGTTTTTGTCATCCAAAACTTCTCATCGGAAGTCTTTGCGGCTGTGGAGCTGCTCCCATGACCAGCTGGATTTGGTTGGACAGTAATTACCCTTGTACTTTTTGTTATAATTTGTCACCACAGAACACAACTTAGAGGCCCAGATTTGTTTCGCATGTGGACAAAGTATTTCTCCACCAAAAGGAATCATGTGTACCACGCTGTTGCTTGGATAACTGGAGAAAGGTTTGTATGCAAAATTAAACAATATGACCTGGCTCTGGTATGCAGTGTGCATTTGTGTGTTTGTCAGACTTTGGCAGGGAATGGTGCGCCCTTTCCCTGTTTGATTTCCACAAAAAGGACAAGCGTAACAACATATGTTCGCGTGTTTGGGGTCCAAGCCTGACAAACCATATTCTTAGTTTAGCTGTATGAAACAGTGATGTCAAGTTCTAAGCTGAAATGTTTAGTACATTTTTAGACATACTTCATGTATTATCTGCTGCAGACTGATAAGAGAGGACATCTATAGCCACCTTAAGGGGAAAAGGAGACAATGTAATCCCAAAAAGATTTCTGTTCTTTCTGAGTCTGACTCATATCACACAAAAATGGCTAAAATAACTTGAAGGAAAGAGAGCACAGCAGGAACTTAAAGTGGTGAGGATGTTTTTATAGAATAAGTATTCAAGTCTTGTCTCGTGGTAGTAGTTCCTTCGGGCAGCGTGGACCTCTCAAACTTTTCTTTGGCAGGGAGACGGTGGTATAATGAACAGTTGAGTTATTGATGTGAATGCTGGTCAAAAGACTCAGGCAGGGTCAAATGTGTCTCGTGCAACCACACACTGTTAACATTTTCCTCGTGATTACTTTGATATGTCTTGCTCTGTGTGGACACAGTGCTCTATAACAAATGCTCCACTGTTTCCTTACACTATTCATATTCATATAAAAACTTTAACTGAACTATGTTTGTTACTTGTGAATGCTACAGTGTTGTTGCCAGAGATCTGAGTGAGTGTGCGATTCAAAATCACAGGATAGAAAGGTAGAACTAGTAATGTAGATTTATGTACAGTACACATATGACCAAAGATGTTTGCTGAATTAATATTGTTATTATTGGATGGTACATTTATTACATGTTTTAAAAATCCCTTTTTTTTAGACATAACAGAATCCCTCCAGGGAATGAATGGCATCAACTCTTGCTCTTAACTGGTTGATTATTCCTGTAATTAGTGTAATCCTTCCAGCAAGACTAATTAGCAGCACACAGCAGCAATTACTGCAAGTTCAAAAATTAGCTCTTGATTCACAACTGTTGTAAACATTTGGTGTAATGTCTGTATCATCTGCATTTTAACATTTGATACTTGTGCATCTGTTGGTTTTATACCTACAAACATGATGGGGCAACGAAGGTGAGGGAATGTTGGGGTAGCACTTTTTTCATGTTTGTTCATGTCATGATTAAACACTCTGAATCCACCTTTTGTCACATTTTCATCACTCTGAGAGGAGCACACATGATTACACTTGTATTTCACTGATTGCAAATCCACGGATTACGTTCAATGAGAACACTTGAGGCGAGTGTTCTTTTTTTCTCCAATATCTACATGGCCAAGGTCACTTACGTAATTACTCTGATATCATACCACATAATGTTTATTACTTTTGTTAATTTGATATAGCCCCCCTAAAATGTTCTTCAGCCCCCCCAAATAATTTGGCATTTTTGGCTTAAAAAAAAAAAAAGAAAAAAAACCTTTTTTTTAATTTTTATTTTGGTGATGTCATTAAATTAAACTATTGTTTCTCACATGGACAAGTTATTTATAACTCTAACATGCTACATATGTGCGTGCGTTCTGGTTTGTATGTTTTGTCACCCTTCAAATTACAATCCTGCTCATAATAAAACAAGTAAATAACTCAAAAGTTGACACTGTCAGGTCCATTCTCCATCCATTGTGTGCGGCCCCTTTAAGAATTAGGATTTGGGAGTGACGCGGACATGAAAGCTAGTTTATCCGTCTTTCCTTTACAAGCAGGACAATTATTTCTCTCTCTTTATTTGAGAAAAGTTCATATTTGTGTTGTCAAATTTCACTATGACCCTGAAATTCTGTCTCTTGTGTTATCATATACTGAATGCAAGCAAAACTACAGAGCAAAATCACACTCTTTCTGATCGAACCAATCTATGAACTGTCTGAAACAATAGCTATCCGCGGCCCCAAATGGGCCCCAACAAAAAATTGCCGCGCGCTTCACGCACCAACATACCACTCCCCTTGGGGCTAAGCCCCCCTTTTCTTTGAATCCTAGAAACGCCCCTGACCACCTTCCTGTGCTCACTGTATACAAATACACTATTGGGCAGATGGTTGATGCCTCAGGGCCTTTGGAGTGAACCAAGAGGAACAGTGTCTCTTCTACAGAGCCTTGTCTGTCTGGATTGTATGTGTATGTCACTGTACATTAAAAACCAAAACTCCAGTCCGCACAACTTCTTTGCTGAACAAATTAGATCATACAAATACTGTATGCACGCTTTCCTACATGTGCATATTAACATACTATGACAAAGGGATGTTTGATTTTTTTACTATTCATATACCTTATCCAAAAAATACCTCTGTTTAAATGCATTTTTGGCAATTAACTGACTTTATTTTGAATATTTCTTATTAAACGACACGTCTGACTGTAACGTCTGACTGTGTGCCTCTTGTGTATATTTTTCATCATGCTGCCTCCCCGTCCCTCCCTTCAGCTCTCTTTCCACTAGCCCAGACCTGAACTCTCCAGACTTGCCTTTCTTCATCCATCCACCAGATGCCATCAGACTTTTTCACTAGTCTCAGTCACATGACGCTTACATCCACTTGTTCACCTGTTCCTCATTCCCCAATTATTCCCACAGTATTTATACCAGCCCATCTCCAGTTTGCTCTCTGACTCTGAGCGCAGTCGCACTGTACAATGCAATCTGGAACCTGAATCCTTTTTGGGTACCTCTCCTGCCCTGTTCACCGAGGATTTTCTGTTACTTCTGTTTGGACTTGCCATCAGCACCAGTAAGCTTTGTGTCCCTTTCAATAAATCATTGAACTTATCCTGTCTGCCTGTCGGTACCCGGGTCCTTTCCTTGCAGCCTCGTAATCACCTACCTGACAAAGATCATCATATGTTTAAAGCGTCTAAAACCTCAACCTCTTATGAGCTTAGAAACAAAACTGCCCTGTTTTCAGCTTTGAGACGAGGCATTTTCATTGCAATTATCTTAAGTAGGAGAAATCCAAAAAGTAACACAAACTCAACAAATTACATGGATTTTACTGCACAGGAAGGTTCATTTAAAAAGTTAACTGTAGCAGGCAGGCAAATGTGGAGTGAGAAGCACAATATTTGTGTGCGGGAGTATGGTTACTTTAAATGTAATGGCAGCAAATGGCCACTAGAGGGAGATGGTGAATCATATAACTTATATCCAAAGGAAAGTCAAAGAAAATAGCAAAAAATGTCACAATAGCCCACAGTTGTGTAGTAGGTACTGTGTGTTTCTCATTAAATATGCACCTGACACCGCATTCATTCCTATTTGGATCAGAGTTTAAAATGTTTTAGGCTTATTGCATGAAAAATCGCAGCTGGTGTTTGTGAGACTGAAGACGATGGATGAAGCAAGGCTGCCATCCAGTCAAACAATGCGATCCTCTCGGTGCTTTTCTGTCCTTAAGCACAACAACTTTATGACAGACACATGTGCATTTGTGTGTGCGTGTCTGTGTCTGAGTGAGGGAGAGCGAGATTACATCACCATGCAGGGAAGCGTACCCTTGCAGTGAAACCAAGGCTGCGTCCAACTGAAACTGGAGATGCATAATAACCAGTTAACAGGCGGACGCTGCTCTGCCTTTATGTGGACGGATGCGGCCACTTTAATTACAACAAGCCCATCATGCCGGTGCAGGGTGATGCTGTATTTGACCGATATTATCCTGCGAGGAAATCACAGGAAATACATTAATTTAAAAATTGATAAAGTTATTGTGTCTACAGTTTCTTTAAAACGGACATTAACACGGTCACAATGTGTCACTTGATTAAAAGATTTTCTGTTGAGTGTTTTTCCCTCCCCCATAATATGTACAGATACAGAAACCTTTGCACTTAGGAGAAATTAATGTCGCGAACGTGTTGAACCAACTCTGGGGCTGAGTGCGTGATGGCGTTGCTTCATTACTGACGGACCTATCACACAAAGAGCTCAATAAGTGGCGGCGGATCTCTAATAAGCTGTATATTGTCCCAGGACACCGGAGAGTGATAGTAGCACACAGGAGCAGGAGCGAGACACCGCACAACGACACGGTGAGTAAACACCTGCTCAACTCACGGGGAATGCTCTTTCTGCCTTCTGTACTTTATTCAGTGGTCTTTTCCTTGGTGTGTTTTATTTTTGTTTTTTTTACGCAGGGCTATCACGCTTTGGATGGTATTGTAATTGGTTTGTAAATGTCAGTGCAAAAAGAAATAGATTGACTGGAAGAGCTATAGGTTGTTTCTTCTAGAAGCCATAAACCCTGATTTTTGGATTTCAAGAGGCAATCACTGTCATCCAGTCCTGGTGGTGTTAGTGGTTTAAAAAAATACACTGATACCTACCATAACAATTGTTATGGTAGGTATCAGTGTATTCTTTTAAAAACTGCTGTTACACATATTTGATTTGTGATGCTGGAAAGAAATCAGAGTAAATCTTGAGGTAACCTCATTGCAAAGAGAGTGAAATACAGCAGAAAGAAGTAACAGCGGAAGATATAGTGTATTGACATAGACAGAAAGAGGAACAGAGGTGTAGGAAGTGTGTGTGGGGGGCAGGGAAGTATTGATGTTGGCTCCTGCTTTAGTTTGTGCTGAATGGAGCAGATGCTTTGACCTCCCCTTGAGACTCTGCAAATACTAAAGCTCTGCCTCTGGTCAGCTGATATATGGGTAGGTAGCAATGACAAGTACACACACATACATACATACATACACACACAAACACACACACACACACACACACACACTCTACAGCACTTGATTAAACATAGGTTGAGCTTCAGTTTAATTGTGATTCATTTGTCTTTCATCAATTATTTACTACCACTTTCTTTTCTTCTCTCCATCATTCTGTGATCTTTGCTGTCCTTCACCTTTTTCTCTTTACGCCCTGCGTTCATTTCTTCCCTCGGTTTCCGCGGTCACAACAGAACAACTCTGC